AATTGCGATTTCCTCAATACCAACACAGGATTAATTTGTATCGAAAAATATGCGCAGAAACTGGAGTTCGGAAATGAAAAGCGGGTCGGATTCCGTTTTTAGCTTTAAAACTGTCGCCAGGAAAGATTCCGGACATCGTAATTTCTCTGCCAGCGACTAAAACCGCACTGCTTAAACGGTTGAATCTTTCACAAAATGTACTTTCGACATGAGAAACTCTACAAAAAATATCGTTGTGCTAAAGCAAATTAACTCTCTCAGGACATATTTTTTGAAACATATAATAAAAGACTTGGAACAAATAATAAAGCAATTAAAATCATTGATCGTAATAAAATATAGATACAAATAAGTAATATTTTTCACATGCAAAATTATTTTTTATAACTTTTATGTTGCTATTATATCGTTGCTAGCGTTAATGATTACAAAAATAACTTAAATAGCTTCGCTAAAAGTTGCATATTGTCAAAAAAATTTGACGACTGCTAAATAGAGATCGTAAAGTGAGAAAAGTAAACAGGATAAAATTTAAGTAGCTCTAGACAGAGGTAGCTGTCAAACCAAACATCTTGGCGCATATTCATATCACGCATTTAGCACTCAAACATTGATTATGTGTGTATGTCTGAGGTTTGTATTTATATTACATATTAAATTACATTTTAATGAATTACAAATTAATGTAATTGTATTTGTATTACATATTAAATTAAATATTAATTATAAATCAATTAATAAATTAAGTAAATAATAAATAATAAATTAAATTAATTAATAAATTAAATATTAGATATTAATTGAATATTATAAATATTCAATTTTCTATTAAAATTTAATTAGAATCATCTTAACAAAATTCTAATTTATGACTTTCCAAGATATGTAATCATAAAATTTAAAAAATTGTGCAGAAAATTGGGATCTTTAATTAAATTGCCGATAAAAAATCTGTTTTTTAACACACGACATTTATATGTCAATAATGAGTAAATATGATTTACTAAGTTTATACTCTGGACCGTATCAAGTCACGAAGCGTTTCTCAAGGTTTATACTAATAACATTTAATAATTACTCGCACTAAGACTCTAAGAGATATCATTTCTTGACATAAAGATTATTTAACCTCGCATATCGATATTCTGATGCTCTATTTCAGACAAAATTGCTGACAGAATATAATTCAGAACCAATTAGTAAAATTAATCTAATGATTTATATGTAAACCAATCAGCCTAGTTACAGAAATAATAGTACTAATAACTTAAAAGATTGCGCGGTCTTTTAAAAATTTTAATTTCTCTCTCCTTCTATACTGGCATCGAATGAAAAATATATCAAAGACGTTGATACCTATCTCCGCGCTGGAGTTCCATGAGCGAACGGAGGTTGTTCTTCAAACGTACTTACGAAATGGCACTTCGTCTTCTACTTTTGCTGATTGCTTCTATCAAGAAGATCATTGATCCCTCGGAACCCCTACCTTCCGCAATACAGACATGGACGTAATAAAACCGAAGGTCAAACCTATCTAGATACCTCGCAAGATGACGTAAGCAAAATTCGAAGATAATAATCCGCGAAATGACTTATCAACGCCTCTTTCTATCTCTCTTATCCCTACCTTCGTTTCTCCAACATTATCTAATGCCTGCAATACGTATTGCAACACCATCCTTTTTTCGCTCAATTGTATTTTTTCGAGTGATAAAACATTCATTGTGTCATTGATCTGGCGATGCCTCACGATGCATTCGTCAGCATTGTTTATCGTTAACAGCACTTAGACATACATTTCGTTATTTTTCGAAAGATTATTGATGTAAGATTAAACTTCTCCCAATATATCAGCCGGAAATCGAAGATTATTATACATTCGCATTAATGTGTATCCGCGTGGCCAATTCATAACGCGTTATCTGAAAACGATCAATACGTCGTCCGTGTCACGTAAACTGTCATATCGTAGATTGTCACGAGAGATCAACGTCATAACCGAAACAGTAAACAGTAAATTTCCGATCGTTGAAATCGCTAACGTAAGATCAAAACTTTATTCGACTTTTAATACATATGCATGCAGAATAACATTCTCATCTAGCAGAAAATTTGAAAGGACCCTAGTAATATTCCTTAGAGTGCCTCAGACGATCACTCGCTACAGCGTCTACCGTATGTATAATTGAAATTTTAGCTTGAGCTTGTGTTGCCTTCTCCACAGGAATCAATTAACGCCCGGCGGATGAAGCTGATTAGGCGCGAGAACTTTCGGGCGCAATTCGAGCACCCCGAGCAAACTCGAGACTGTGAAAGTTGATATTCGCGGTAGCTTCACCGTGGAGCCCGACACTGCGAGGAATCGCGGATCACTGGATCATCCGAGAGTCTAATGCCAGTATGCAAGATGCATAGACTGTTAATCAAAGTGGAGACGAGTGGTTTCCTTGAAGATCACGATTACCAATCACGATCGCTTGTTACTGCCATTGCTCGCTATTCTCTCCAAACGAACGAGATGCTTTATACGTGTTGTCTCGTTGATAGATTCATGACTAACGATTTGCCCCTTTAAATGCCATTTAAAAGTTAAAAGCCTGACCACAAGAGACGCGTTCACGTTGTTCAACGTGTAGCGGCAAAATCGGAAAAATTATTTGGAGAAATAATGTTTTCGATCTTTTAGTTTACTTTTAACTTTATTTTCCCGAAAGATATAACTATAACGTAGACAATGCATTTTTGTAGTTATTACCCCGACACGTTTCGATTCTTGTCAAAAACCGAGCACGTGCAAGGTTTGATTGGATTTGATTCGATTTTGCACTCAAAATTGGAATAGAAATCTCTTTTGTTTTTTTTTTTCCTATGTGTACGCAGTATGTAAACATATATGTGGCTCTCGCTTCAAGCGATGGACCACTATCTATCGAATACTAAACGGTAAAAAAATCTTTTTTCGAAAACTGTATCTCAATTAAAAACAATTTTAAGAGACTGCGAATAGCAAATGAGTTGCCAGTTTGTATAATAAACTTGCAAACTGCATGCCGGCGTTTTACTCGCTACGCAGAATATAAGAATTGATAAATTTAATGCACGCGCGTGTCAAATATCCATCATTCGTCTCCACTTTCGTTTTCTCAACGATTCTATTTTCGCTCTCTTACACGATCTTATTTCAATGTCTTCACAAAGGACAGTAATCTAACAATAAGATCAAAAGCAACAGCGAGCATCTAGAAAGGAATATTGCCTGTCACTAAATAACAATGTCACTATAAACAATACCTCCGGAAAAGTTGCAGAAATATTACAGAATTGAGCAATTTATATAAAGATATGAAGAATTTGTTTCCTTCAATTGGTTAAAAATATTTTAGATAATTAAAATACGAAAAATTTTTATAACTTTATAAAAGTATTCTATCAATTCCTCGAGAATGTTTCCTCCTGCTGGTATGCTATACTATTTTTATATATCCTCTATTTGTAATGCGATTAGATAACTTATGTACATGATTCAAATGTATTTAAGAATCATGATTAATTATATATTTGAATATGTCGCATTTAACTAATAAAAGATTTAAAAATTTTTTAAATCTTTAACATGAATTCGTGAGATTGGTAAATTACTGATACACAGTAAAATCATGTGCTCGATATGTTGTTACTATGTGTCATCAAATATCTATAATTCCATTTTCCAAAAATTATCGGTGACGTGGCGATTATCATAAAGGATGTTTACATCCAATGATAAAAATGACGTTGTAAGCTCATTGATTCAAAAAGCTTATCATTCTAATATCTACAACAGTACGATTTAATTATTTTATTAAAAACTTCCGGTTACCTCATTTTAACACCGCATAATTTTATTATGATAACACAACTCTCCTTTTGTATGATAAATATAATAATTATTCTTCTGTCTGTCCTTTTCTTTTTCTCGCAATTGTATTTTCTTATCATCCAAATCTTAAAATCAAAATATCTTCCATAAAATACACACAAATTCATATGCAAATTAAATAGCATTGTCATTACTTATACATGATACAATCTTAAACTTCTCGTTACGAAAACCACGTGGTTTCATACGCACGTGTTTCTTCTCAGCTTATCGCCATTCAATATAACAACGATCAAATCATCGCGCTCATCAGATAACGCTATTCTATTATAACGATAATTATCGATTTCAACTACGCTGTGTTTAATGTACATAAGGTATATAACGATTTTCTTTAATTTTAATATATTACTTATTGTTAGTTATACTAATTTTTCTGCAAAATGCAATTTCAAGTTTTAAAGGTATTCGCGAAGATTTAGAGATTTAATTAATTTGTGTTAATATTAAAACATATTATTAAAGTAGCATATTTAAAATTCAATAAAAGATTCAGATATTACTTGATCATTTAATATAATTATTTTTTTATATCGCGTAACATTGCCTATGATAAATTTACATACAATATCGAAACACATACAAACACGCGTGGAATAAATTGCTGATAAAGATTAAAATTCTTCAACTCATAATGAAGTCCCGGTATCTCTCATACTGCTTTATAATCGTTCGCGTACCGCAGCCTTGCGATATCGTATTCCAAATAAAAGCGTCTCTCTCGCGCGTATACACATATACTCCCACATGAGTTGTGGAACCGGAGTTATCCGCCTCCTTTTGTTTGTACATCGATACGCATATATCCCGTCTAACTGTCGTATGTCATAAAATTTACGTCCAATAATTATGATTGATGTAATTTATATTTCTTCCTCGTTATAATCGCATCATTTCTCCAATTCACATATTGCCGAATCTCGATGTTAATAGCATCAAGAATATAATGGATCTATACGGATTAATTTTACTACCATCCACTAACAATGCCAATGTCAAACAGAATACGCCTCGTTATCTCGTGCTAGTACGATATATATATTTTTTTTTCAAGTTATCGTCGGCGCCAGAACTCACGTACCTGCCGGTGTCAGGCGCGCGGCTTTTCAACTCGTAGTACATCAGTTCCTTGGTCGAGGTTGACAGGAGGGAGAGGGCCTGCTCGAAGTCGTCGTCGTAATCCCCAGCGGCGACATGGTGGGCGATCGGATCGGTGACGGCGAATGCGGCCATCAGATCGAAACCCATATCGACCCCGGACTCGTCCATCGTCGCGACGCTTCGAATGTACCGCGCGCAGACGAATCGCGGCGTGCCGGGTAACGTGAGAACGCGCGTACTCCAAAGTTTCGGCGCCGGGGCGAGGACGCGCGTCGGCGCGCCACGGAAGATGATGAAGCGGAGATATAGATAAGAAGTGTGGAGAGAGTAGAGACGAAGAGAGAGAGAGATAGAGAGAGAGAGAGAAAGAAAAGAATATGCTCTCGGAGAGAAACGCGTTACGAAAGAGTCGCAAACGAACGATACGACGAACGTTGGGATCGTTGGGACGTGTTTTCTTTCGGGAGAGAATGACGTGCGGAAGATGCAATGTATGGGAGATGGATCACGGCGCGCCTTTCTTTGATGGATCACAAGCACCGCGAAGGAACTCCCATTTTGCGCAAGTGTCAAGAGTTCTCGCGCGAGTTGTTAGCGTTCGCGACGGCGGCCGCGCGTGCACGCGTGCGCGGATCCGTGACGTTCCTCCTCTGCTGCGACGCGCGTTCCATCGCCCCTTCGCGGCTCTCGCGCGCGTTCCCTCGCGATTTATCTCGGCGCAGGCGGCAACGACTGCGGCAACGGCAACGCGACGTTTCGTGGAAAGATGAGCGCGAACGCGAACGCAAGCAGCCGACAGCGCGAGTGCGCGACAAGACGAGCGTGACGCGCGCGCGTATCGGTACTACGCGGACCGTCCGGCCGTCCCGGCCCGGACCGCCGCGCCGCGGCCGCTGCCGCGGAGGTTTCGCGTTTGACTTACGACTCCCGCCATCTCGCGGAAACGTGCCGACCGGCGGCATCCTTTGAAGTGGATAAGCTCGGCGAAACAATCTTCCAGCTTTCGCAATTACCTTCGCGAAAATCGATAAAAAGTTAACGAAACAATAAATGAAAATAATATATTCGTTTTCCATACCTTGACATATCTCTCGGTACCTTCATTTAAGATTTTACTTGCTCTCGTATATATTTTTTGAGATTTATATTACGAATGGAAAATAATATATTTCATTTATACCTAATCTCAAACGTGCTTTGAAATATTACAACAATCCTTGAGCGCTGTTTTGGATTAATTAAATGACCATAAAATAAATTATACACACAACGGTGTATTGCGATGTAAGATTACTCTAAAAAACTTTTATAATTTATATTATTGATAACATTTAATATAATTTATCTTAATAACACATGATGTTTTGTACAGCATTGTTTGGACAAAAGAAGAAGCTGTTCTCTCTCAAATTAATATTCGAAAACGTATTCGATTGTCAAATTGCTTCGTATGTATATAGCATATTATAATAATTGTAAATTATTTTCCTTTTCAATTAGTTATCATTCCAAGAACTGTTCAATTACTTATACCAAAGCGCGACACAAACACGAATGCTTGAAAAAAAGACACCAGTCCCGAAAACATGGCATTGAACATATATATTTGATGAAATAAACATACATCAGCACAACGATTGTCCGGTGATGTAATTCACAGAATGTGCTGACACTGATCGTTACTACACATTATGACTTCATGCAGTATCGTAAGGTACGTCAAGATATTCACTGCTCGGGTCTGCCGCCTGAATTAATTAGGGACTGTAAATTACTCGCCGTGAGTCGCCATGTGCTCACGATTGTGCGCGACGCTGGTCATGATATTAATCTTGCCTGGGATACGCGCGATTCAACCGTTCAATGGGGATACTTTACCGTCAAATATTTCGGAAAAGCTGGACGATTATTGGCGAACCTATAAGGTAACATGTCCTTAAAACAATAGAAATATTCTGAAAGGCTGACATTTCGAATGCATGTTTATAAATCACTATATTGAGTTTCTTTCATCAAAAATTACTCCATGAATTTTTAATTCCTTTCATAATTATTAATTATTTTTTAAACAAAAATTGTTTAAAATATGTAAAATGTAATAAAACGTCCTTTTAATTATATTACTTGTTAATAATGTGTATATATCAAACACATTAATATGAGATAAAGCGTATTCTGTTCAACGTTAATTAATTATTACAATAACGTTGATTATAAAATTAATCCATAGATCCATTAATGCTCTTAATCTTAATCAACATTAATTCAGCAATTGAGCCTAATTTAAAATTGAAATCATTAAGACTCTATTCATATGTCTAATAATAACGAGAACATATGTTTTATAAATGGTGTTGCAAAGTCTGTAATAAATAGATCCTGACCTCGTCCTATGCAAAGTATGTCATGCAAATCACATTTTATCGCGTTTGAACAGACGCAGTTTAATAAGACGTATACAAGAAATCTGGAAAATGTGAGGAGAGCGGCTTGGGAGCAAAATCTCGTGGAAATTTATAAGCACAATCTACTGGCCGCCGCAGGACATCACAGTTATACATTGCGGGATAATCATATTGCCGATCTCAGCACTCGACAATATATGCGCGAAATGGTTCGTAATTAATAATATAAATGTCATCTTTTTCTCTCTCTGTTTTCCCGTCGAAGCCCTTGATCTTTAAATAACATCTTTAAAAATCACAATTCTCTATCACGAACATTATAATTCACCACAAAATATAAATGACACTAAAATCGCTCCGACAACGTCTCTTTCTGCCAATTTTCCTCAGGTGAAACTAATGCCAAGTCGAAGACGCCGACTGCCGACCGAACCGATAGTATCGGCGGTGTTAAAAAATCCTCGCGACATACCAGCACGTTTGGATTGGCGCGAATACGGTTTCGTCACTTCGCCCGTGAACCAACGGAGCTGCGGGAGTTGTTATGCTTACTCAATCGCGGAAAGTATAGAGGGACAAATTTTTAAGCAGACCGGCATGTTGCTACCCTTGAGCGCACAACAGCTGGTAGATTGCAGCACGTCAACCGGCAACCTCGGCTGCACCGGCGGTTCCCTTAGGAACACTTTGAAATATTTGGAAAAGTCGAAAGGTCTCATGGCTAGATCCACGTATCCCTACAACGCCGAGGTACGCACTGCACTTTTCTAACTGTCGAGCGTACAATATACACAATATTCCATCGGAGCACCGTTTATAAAACGTAACTCTTGAATCGCTTTCGCATTTGCAAAGCATTATAAAATGTTCGGCGCCTTTAAACTTTAATGTACAAAGAGAATTTCTGCATTCTTTTTCGAAAAAATCTTATACCTGACAGCCACGTAAATTTTTTTTATTATTGGCGATGATTAATCAGTCGTAAAAATTTATAGAATCGCAGTGCTATACATTCTAATAATGCCAAATTGAGAGACTTGAATTTCTTAATTTTTACTGTGACCATAATACATTATTAGCGACTACGAGCGAAGGCGCTGACAGTGCGAATTTAATTATCGCAATAAAGAGATAGGTAAACGTCAAGGTTTCTTTCATTATTTCTGACACTTCGCGGGTCTCCGCCAGAAATGTCAGAAAATTTGTGGAAAATTTTGGCGAGGAGAATCCGAATTATGCCAGTCACGTTAACGTGATAAACTTCCGTAATATGAATGGCTCCGTGACGATGACTCTGCCAGCTCCTCTATTAATAGTAAATATACTTTATATACGTTTCATACGAGTGAGCAGCGCGAGAGCCAAATGCTTCATAGAATTTTAAGAAAGTGTACGACTATTATTCTTTCACTTGCAATAAAAAATAAACGCGCTTATATCTGACCAGGCTGACTTAATTTAAAACCACGATGTCACAAATACGAAGTTTGGCTGATGCAACCAATCGCGTGTAACTGACACGCTCCAATTTAAAAGTGTCGACAAACATTAGTGGACAAAGTTCTATCGGATGTTGATTGTCAATCTTTTCCTATTAAACTCATTTCCTGTATAATTAATAGCAATATTATTCTATCGATTTCGTTTAAATAAATTCGAGCGTATCTTGTGCCTGTTTATTACTTCGCCTTCAATCAAAAACAAAACGCATCAACTTGTTAATGGATTGACGTAAAACTGTCTTATTTTTCTTCGAAAGTTATCTATTTCTTTTTGTTTCGTCATGTTTCCTTTAACAGACGTCAGTTCATATGCACGCAGAAATTAAATAGCTTCGTATATTTTTATGTCAGTAATATCAATAGCTATTCCAATAATAACGATAATCTCTAATAATGTTATGATAAAGTAAATCTTAATTATGCACTTTAAAAACAAAAGCTTAATTTTGGTGTGTTTAAAACATTTTAAAAGCAATTGTGTTTCATCGTAACGCAAAAACAAATTTTTATTGAAAATAGTTAAATTGTATTATAAGTTACTATATTATACTTTTATTATTGTTTTTATTATATTATATTTATAATATTTATTATATAAGTATATATGTTTCGCTATTAATAAGAGTCCAATAATTTTAACGCTTGTAACTCGAATTATTCTAGCAAGGAGAATGCCAATTTCAGAAGGACCTGAGTGTCGTCAATATAACTTCATGGGCAATTCTGCCGGCACGGGATGAGAAGGCTCTAGAAATAGCAGTGGCGACAATCGGTCCCATAGCCGCTTCCATAAATGCCAGTCCAAAAACATTCCAGCTTTATCAGTGAGTAACATATTTTTATTTGCACTGAAAAAAACGCGCCCGTGTAAATTACCACTAACGAGCAAATGACGTTCGCACGAATCGCCGACAAACGTGCCGCGTTCAAGAAATATATGTGATAATTTTAGACATCTGCTATTTATTGCACAAACCCGCAAAAATATTGCACTCATTATAATTTCCAGCATTTATGGATCGACTGATCGAATTGGGGAGAATAAAACAACAATACGAATTGCGATGCATTCGACGTAAATTCGAAAAAATTCTACCGATAACCAACGAACGGCAGTGACAAACAATTTTTTTTCGCTCAGATAGCTCGTAATCCGGCAATAAATATGCAGTTGATATTTTAGTCAAGTTTCACCAATATTTGGTGTTTCTCAAGAAACCGCGCAAATAAATATTGTCGATTTGATCCGGATCTACATCTTTGATTACAGCCAATTATTATTATCAATACACAAATACGCATTTATTTCAAGTTAAACTCATCTCGCAACTCATTAATATTTCCAATATTGTGTCCGATATTTAAATTATTACACAACAAATTTGTTATCAAATCTTTTAATCGTGGAAAGAGAAATTATTATTCAGATTGTTTTGTAGGTTCTTTATCCAACGTATATTAATTAAAGCTTGCATCATTTATTAATGAATTCTCAGGTATTCAAATATTCACGACATAAAAATAAAAACTTAAATAATAATATTTGATCAAATATATTATATGTATTCGTATTCGTATGTAGGTATACGAATTCGTATAAATATTAAATTATTCATTCAAATGTAGCCCTCTGACTGTAAACTCCTGATACGATAATCAAAATTTCGGCATTATGTGTGCAACATTTATATGAAAAGCGAGATGATTGGAAATTTTGCCCAGACCCCCCCGTCGAAGATACCAGCGTAGAAATTGGTCCAATCACTTGATAACCCTTAGCTTACTGTCGATACGGGTGACTCTCATTCATTCGAAGCGCCGAAGCATTCTACCGATCAGTCATTGAACTCGTATTATTCTAAAGGGACCAGACAATGCCAAGCCGCGACTATTTCCTCCCATTGTTCATTTCTGGCGAACAATAAATACCCGCGAGAAATCATGGAAATCGTTTGCCACTCGTGACAAACGGAAGTGCCATTGATGCCCCGAGATGTTATTCCGCAAAGTTTTAAATAAATACAGGATGCCGATCGCAAACACGCGATATCAATACGCTAACGTAATGCATTAATGATTGCATGGACTTGTATATATGTATAATAGTTCACACAAGTTCAATGTTGGTTATTCACATCCTCTAACTAGAAAATGTCTTTCTCGCGCAATGTATTTCTCTCTTTTTCTTTCTTTATAGCAATCTTCGTATCAGATTTGACATACGTCGAAATGTTTTGCTCGCGAAACAGATCGTCCGATTCTAATTTTTTTCTCTATTAATGATAATTATCATGTTTATTCAGCAATAACATATGTATGTATGCAATACATATGTATGCAATAATATATGTATTTAAATTATATAAGAAAGTTTATTAATCAGTATTTCCATTCATAGCAAAGGCGTTTATGACGATCATCAATGCAGTTCGGATATGGTGAATCACGCGATGCTCGTCGTCGGATATACGCCAACCGAATGGATCCTGAAGAATTGGTGGGGCGCTAGTTGGGGAGAAAAAGGCTATATGCGGCTGGCAAGAAACAAAAATCGTTGTGGCGTAGCAAACTATGCAGCTTATGTGAAAGTTTGACAATGAGATCCATTTCTCTAGAATGTTATCGGCAAACTCTCGCAAACCTCAGAAAAAAATGTATATTGATTTTTATATTTGGAACAAATTGCGATAAATCGATTGGTATTTGTGGCAATTATCCATCGAAACAAATATTATTTTCCCATATACATATTTTCTACTTTACCTATATTCCTATCCTATTCTTATAGCCATGTGCTTAAAATGAAAAAAGAAATAATAAAAATGTAAATAAGTAGCAAGTTCAATAATTCTATTTGCCACATTGCTATCAGTCTTCCACCGTTGTAAGATCAAAGATTACATGTATTCAAACGATTAAACTTCGGGCAATTACTAAGGATCGCCGAACATTTATTACATAACAGCCACTGACCGCAGGACGGACGCTCGAATGCCAGATACCAGACTTCCGTAACCACACAGGATCCCGGGGAAATTTAATCGAACCGTACAACCACGGCACGATAGGAACGTGGAGACTGTGCCCGATCGAAAATTCTATCCAAAGACGAAGTACACGGCTAACCGGGACATATCGCCATGGCATTTCCGTAAGAGACAGAGGAAGAGAGGAAGAGAGGAAGAGAGAAAGAGAAAGAGAGAGAGAGAGAAACAGAAGGAGAGGACGAACCAATTCATATATCCGTAGATAGGTAGAACTCGATAGGCGCTAACTGCATGACGCAACGTCAAGCGAAACCATTACGTAACCGCGCAGTGACATAAATCCAGGGACGCATTCTGCAAATGATTTGTGTACGCACGATTCTGACACCAGAAATAAAAACGGGCTTGCATGATCGAGGTGAAATAGCATCTTTTTTAAGAATGTATAAAATTTAATTCTAATTTGTCAAATTTAATATTTGTAGAATAAAAAAATAATAAATCTCGGGAATTTTTTATTACAAATGAGATCAATAAACAGATTCGTTTTTTAAGAAAGATCTTGGTTTTTACATTCAAAAATTTATATATTATATGTATACCTAAGCATTCGAGCATTTTTGTGTTCTCTTTTAATGATATATTTATTATATAATATTATATTTAGAATAATAGTAAAATTTTACTAAAGCTTAATATTAATCTCACGAAACAACCGTGAAAAACAGATATATCTGACGACTTGTCATCGTTCGTTTCCTATAAGTTTCCACGATTAAACTGCAAAATAATAACACGCCCCGGCAAATAAAAGCTTTACTCGTGCGATTGCACGTCATCCAACACGACGATGCAACGATGGAAAGAATCCTGAGAAGCAATATGTCCGGAATGCATTGTCGCGGCTTGCAGTTCTCTCCCTGATTTTCCGATATCAAATGCGGCCCCGAGACCACGCAAATTCCATCTCTCTATTCGGAGGTCGGCCACGACTCATTGTTCGTCGCGAATGACAACGCGCACAATCCGTCCAAGCGACAGCGCATCCTCAATTGTTACCCAGCGCAACATCTCTATCTGTTTCCCATCTGTTGAGTGACGTAGCGACGTATCCCGCCGTGTCTCATCTTACCAACCTGGCCTGCTGCTATCGGCAGCTCGATGCAGACTGGCATCGCAAGCTCGCTTCTTACTCGAAACATCATTAATCTTAAAGTCTGATAATGACTGATAATTTCTTCATAATGATACATACATCATGTATTCACAACACATACGATGCATTTGAAACGAAGCATAATGGTTGAAAAGAAAGTAATAGAAGCATTCTGACTGTGACAGTATGAAGTGATATAAATTATTAAGTGTATTTCGGCTTCTACTTTTAATCTATTTTTATCTCTTTATTTAATTTGTATATTTTTGAAGTTTCATAAACATGAGCATAAAAATATAGATGTCATTTAAGATAATGTAAAAATATCATCATACAGTAAAAAGATTGCAAGACTGAAGTAACGCGTATTAATTTTTAGAAAAAATAATTGAAGAATAAATGATTGAAGTTATATGACAAGCTTGCACGGTTTTTATAGACGGATAGTAAGAAAAAAGTACCTGAAGATTATAGAATTTAACGAGAGCTACGGAACTAGCTGACAGACTTAAAGCTGTTTAATGGACAATACAGCTGCTGCGAAACAACGAAATGGCTCAAAGTCGATATTTTTTCAAAGTTGCTAAGAGTATCGCAGGCACTTTTAACTTGTTAACGTCTTAAGACGATAAAGATATAAAGAAGAAATCTCTTATATAAAAAGAAGCAAGCTTTATGAAAACGTCGCGAGAGATTAACAATAAAATTGGAGCGTAATTGATTATTTTAATTCTAAACGTTTTTAAATACTATTTTTTAATAGAAAATAATTTTAGACAAAAAAAATATATTATATACAAAAAAAATTCTCGTCGCATATTCTCATCGAGTGCATTAAGAGATTGAGGATATTCTGACAGAAAAGAGAAATAGTAACGCTGCACTGTCACAGGAAACAAGGATAGGAAACAGATAGAAGCAACGAAGATAAATACGAAGAAAGAAAAAAAGTTGCAAAGCAATTGGTGAAGCCGGTCGTGTTACCGTAAAGAACCGAGCGACGACGAGTCTCGCGGAGACTCCGCGCGGAATATAATCACTCGTAATCGGATCAAGGGGAGTAACATCCTGATTTACGGACTTCGCTTCTCCTTCGCCCGGGTCTCCCGCTCTAATCGCCCTTATCGCCCATTCTCACGGCCTTCCATTGTCCCTCTGGGGAGACCGAGGCGGAAATAACTTGGGGGAGGCGAACAGGTTGATGGTCGCCATGGGAAAATTGCACGATCTCGCTCTTAACGTCACCGTGAATTGTCCGATCGATTTGCTTAGGCTCGTTTTCGCGTGACTCGACTCTCGTGACATTTCCAACTTTGCTATCAAACGTTCTAGACGATTTATATTACGAAAGCAATAAATTTGACGTCGTGTGTGTGACATAAATATATAAAGATAATCACTTGATTGCTATATGATAAGAAATAAGTCACAAAGGAAAACAAAAATACTTGAATTATTCTTCCGGCTAATTCGCTATTTCTTTCTTTTCGTGAAACTTTTACATATTTACCTGTCACGAAAAATTGTATTCTCTTTGATCGACAACTTATCCACACGCGACGACGAATCGATAGGAACAAGGACAAGAATGTCTCCCATTCTTTCGTAATTTCCACGTGACTCGCGGTTATTTTCGGCGTTTCCGGTGCGTTTTTCATTTTGTTCCAGTGCGCGGCAGCATGACGAATGGCAAACGGGGAGAAAAGAAAATAAATAAGAGCGTGGATTCTCAGTATGCCGCGAGCTTTCATCGTCCGCTTTATCCTTATCCTCGCACGTACGAGGAGTCACGGAAAATGTGAGAGCAACAGAATTTATCGTCCTCCAGGACCGAGTCCCTTAAGAGCGTCCGAAATACGTGCGCGCGCGTATACGCGCGCTCGCACATACATACCGGAATAATGCAGCGGGCTGAATAACGAATTGCAGCACCGTCATATATCACGATATCCGTAAACAACAATGCAACATCTACAAACTTTGGTCATATTGCCGTTAGCATTATTACCATTACGGAGCAATAAAGATGGTTAGCGCCAATACGCCGCAATTGCGCAGCGTTATTTATTGATTAATCCAAGTTTTCGAAATATCCGCGTTAATAATAATAGCTCTATCATAAAGATCCGTCAATTTACGATCAACTCTAAATCACGCTCCGGGGTGGAATCAGTTCACGTCGGATGTCGATAAAGTACGAGCGGATGTCGACACCGTAAACAATCGTGGCGGCGCTTTGCGAGTGTATAGTACGTCCTAATGTCGAAGTGGATAAACGGCGACGAGCATGCGAGACAGCGCAAACGTAGTCCCTTATCGATGGAAGATCGATTAAGCCGACAAGCATGTAAGCGAGATTCAAAGATCGATCGTCCGAAACGTCGGGTGACAGGAACCGTACTAGAGATGCGACAGAGAGGGAGAGAGAATGAGAATGAGACAAAGAGAGAGAGAGAGAGGGAAAGAGGAAGAGAGAGACATCCTGTTTCTCTCGCTCACGTGCATACATCCGGCGCGATAAGCGTTTTCCGGGGAACGAAAAGCCCGGTGGATTTTCCTGTCGCGTAACACGACTAGAGGAGACACCGATGCGACGAATCGTGTCGCTCCTCCTCCGAGGAGCATCCTTATCTCGAGAATACGGCGCTACAGTGGCATCTCTCAACCGTCCGTCATCTCTCCTCGAATCGAGTACCCAAGCACTCGTCGATAAATCGCGTCGGCAGACGTCGCCGCTCGGCGAGACGGTGGAACGCCCGCCGTGCGTGCGGGGTGAATATTTATCGTACTCCAGCCGCGAAATGCACAAATGCGAGGGTGCCGATGGGCGCGTAACGGAACCGCTGCTCCAATTCGAGCACATCGTAAAGGTGAATAAATTGCGCCTCGTAAAAATACCGATAACGTTCGTTTTCGTCTACCGCGCGTATCGCGCAACTTCGCACTTTAAAACGTGACGACATGTGAGTCAGATACACAATCGTATAATTCATTAAATCGAGAATTAAATTATGTCCCAATTTGACATCGCGAAGACAAATTGCGATTATAATATTTACTTGATTACCACGTGAAATTAAATTAAATTAAATAAAAAAGTAGATATAATAATTAATACCTGCATAAATTCAGAGATACAGAAGTACTATATGTTTATGTTATTATTCATATTATGATTATATCGTAATATTGGTTTTAATGCTCAGTTGATCTTGATTTTCGATTTCTTATAACTTATAAAACAACATAAGCCGCTTTTATCGCGCATCATTATAAACTATATATATCGTGTATTATGATCATAATATAATCGTATTATATTACGAATATGTTATAATAGAATCGCGTATTTCGTAGTACGCGTATGTAATACATTACATTCTATATGTAATACAATATCTACATTACATATGTATAAATATTATGTATTATATATAATGTAGATATTGCACAATAATAATGAATAAATCAAACTAGACTCACCAACATCCAATGCACCTAGATCCGGTCTGCAACATCATTGTGCAAAATGGTTTATCGTCAGCTTCCGATCCTTTCTCTTCATCTTGATAGTTTGCAGAGAAATATGTTCTTCTTATTCAAATATTCTGTAACAGTACAATATTCTATTTATGTGAAATCGGTACATCAAAGAATTAATTTAATTAAAATAGAAAAATCCTAATTCAAGAATGTACCAAGATTTGTAGATTTATAATTTCTTAAAAAATTAAAGTTGTCCATTGCGAATTCAAGTTCACGATTTCAGACTTACAAGGAATTTCGTATAATAATCCCGTATAATAATCTGTGTTAACTATTATTAATTTTCCTAGTGCAAAAGTAAAATTAATTTTCATCATTTTTATCGCGTATAAATTCACGCAAAAATATATTAAACAAAATTTAATTTAATACGTTAAAAGGATGTTACATATTCATACGTAAAAAGATTGATTAAATAAATGAATTGATAAAATGGAACGTAAAATAATCGTTTAAGAGCAAATCAAATAAAATAAATGTGTAAATATTCTTTATTCTTATTTCGGGATACGTTCGTTATGTTCAGTTTAATACATTATGATGATAAACTCACAGAGTGATATCGCGCGTGAATGTTATAGATATTATTTCTGTTAAGAGTCATTAGCCTCCTTGACCTGTCAGATTTAAACTTAGGGACTCACAAAGCGACCAATGCTGCCAATCGTCGTTAAGCGACTCCTTGTCAAAGTATTTCCACGCAAAGGAAACGTGACAATGAAATGATCTTTGGACGAGAGGAGCGATTCAACCTCAACCATTGAATCGCTTCTGTGAATACCGAGGATATCACGTACGCTCCATAACATATGAAACGGATGTTACAATCACCTCTTCGGTCTTCTCTATCATATTGCACAAAATTCGTTCTTCCTTTCAAAATTGTAATCGTTCTTGGCTATATATTTACCGTCTACGGATCCAATTATTATTCTTTTTTTGAGAAGTACCATCAATCTCGTTTATCAAAATCAGATTAGAAAAAAGTAAGGAAAACTAAAATAATTTATAGAAAAAAAATAGCCATCACACGTTTTTATCGAAACTTGTTAAAAACTCATCTTACCATTTTAGAGCTTATAGGTTACAACGCTCGAAATTGACAAACAATAATAATAATATACAACATTACTCTCATTAGCTTTGCGTATGTTGCTTTACCCTTTGGCTCTTTATAAAATAACGCAGAAATGTTTTTTATTCATTGCTTTTACGCGTGCTCCAGATACTGCCGCAAAACAATCAACTTTCATCCATTTGCGCATCGAGCAGTAGTTCTCCAATTATCTCACCGCTGATTATTGCTTCATCATTATACGAAGGCGCGGGTCCGTAACTAACGATTTTAAATTACTGTTCGCGTAATAATAAAGTTTTCTGTTGCTATTGACGCAGTTCACATCGATCGTGGATCATCATACGCGTCAGAAATTAAATCCTCCGGAAAGTTTCCGGCAAAAAGTTTGCCTGACTCTCCCGCAATCTCGCCCATTGTTAAATTCGTGAGTATGTTGCAATAAAATTCGAGAACCCTCGAAGAAAGAATTTATTATATTTATAGAAATGTATTTTCTGCGAGATAACAAAGAAATACACATAAAGATATCCGTCGTATTTATAAAAACTCAAGTATTTTCCCTACGATATAATAAATGTGTACAAATATTTTTTTTTATTTAATAAAAAATGTTTCTTTTTAATAAAAGAATATTTATACATGCATTAATCTCCAAATTAAAATTTTTGTTTATATTAACGTATATTTGGTCATATTTTCCTGGCAATCCCTGATACATAACGTAAATGTTTGGACAGTAATTCCAAAAATATGGAGAGTTGTGGATTTACATTTAAAACGCAGTCAATATTTTATCGACACAATTTGTCACGTTGCCATGTTATCGGAATAGATAAAACTTTTTCTCCAATAAGATGACATACATAAAATATTATTATATATTATTTGAATAATGACGTTACGTGCGTCAGTTCGAAAAATTACATATTTCAATAACGGTCGATAATAAGATAACGCAAACAAGCGCAGTGATTCTACAAATGAGCGTGGCGTGCACGAACTGCTGATTACACGCGCCATGTCCGGCGCAAATTACAGAATAATTCAATACGCCGGACCGAGTAATAATTTGCGAATCATGAAGTCCAATGGATCAACGAAACGAGAACGGCGAATAAAAAAAACTGCACTCAAATACCGAAACTCGGCACGCAGCGATGACTGCATTCGCCACAATTATTAATGACATCGAAGAACAGTAGGAAACGATAAGGCGCTTAACGCAGTATTTCATTGCTTTTTTTCTCGTTTTTTTTACGAGGACCGTTATCGTGTGATTTATTAAACTAAAGACACGAATACGCGGAATCGAAGTGCAGGCGTATTTTACGTTACAATGTTTCCCTGCAAAGTGGCGCTCTCGAAAAAGATCAGGGCACGTCGCATTTCGATAAGTAAATAATCTCGACGCCTCAAAAAGCGTTCATCGCATCTGCGATGTTTCCAATATATCGTGTACGTTCAAAAAAAAAATTCGGCTTTTCCGGGTCAGCGAGATGGGTCATCTTCTACGAGAGAGGCGAGCTCTCCGATGAACCGTGAATGCAAGCCTCAGCTCAAAGAAATGCTGACACTAATCTGCGATAAAGCGTACGTCAGTCTTTTTTGCGGTAAACATTCGCCTTACAAGCTCACTTTCAAATGAGTGCAATCAAGCGATATGAATATTCTTCGTTTGGTCACCTATAGTCAAACGTATGATACGTCACAAAGAAGATATAGTATTATAGTTATAAGCTATAGAAATCGATTTGCGGTATTATACGATGCTGCACAGTAATGAGTTATAAAAAAAAAAATTAAAAATTCTTAACAAAGACACTTTTTTCAACATTATGCTAGGTTTATTTTATAAAAAAACTTGAAATTTTAATAAAAACTGAAACTGAAGCAGTTTTGAAGAACATATGCTTCGCGTTTGTGTACAATATTTTACGAAAGAAATTTAAGACGTTTCATCATTGATACGCGCTTTATCTCTCTTCGTAATAGCACCACCAGCATACCAAAGAGTTACATAGATCTCATCGAGAGAAATAATCTTTCACGGTTCACCGAGATGCCAATCAACGAACGAGACACCTTCCACCAAAATAAAGAAGATAAACGTCAGCCTATTAAGACGGATTTGAGACTTCAGGAACCGCCAATGGACCACATGGAATCCCATCAGCAGCATGTTCACGGCGCGTGCTTGCGCTGATATCAGCATCACAGTCGTCCCCGTATTGGCTCCGGCGACCACGGAACAAAGTTCAGCCTATACAGAGTCAACTACATCACTGGACCATCGTAACGATTCACCTCCAGTCTCCGTGAACGCGCCGTCGAGGACGTCGGTTACTGCGAAGAGAAGAATTGTCCTCGAGAATCGATCGGATGTCAGTCTTCTTTTACATTTGTAAAAATAAAATTATTGCCGACTCCGCAGATTGATATTTGGAATAAAGAAATACAGTGCTTAAAGACGCGCGAGGAAAAAAAAAAGAAAGAAGCAAAGTCAAGATTGGCGAAGTAGCAATCTCACGAGATATCGACTCGACGATTGTAGAAACTCGCTTGACCTGTTGCAACCTTGCCAATAAAATTAATATTGCGCAAATTGCGAGCGAATCTCGTTGGAATTCCTCGAAAGGAATACAGAGATTTCTAATACGAATCGAGTTTGTAATAATCGATCCTGTAAGTATTATAAATATCACAATCCATGCGTCAGGGTCATCAAAATAGGATCAGGACTCGTCCAAAATATTTGACGAAGACATATGATCGGCGGTACATGGAGGTCGCTGAATACAAATTGTCAACCAACTTCAGGGTCGACAAAGTAATGTCGATGAGTTTAATGCATAAACCGTCTTTGATATCTGACGAACTCGAGTAAACGAATTAACGGAACTAATCATCAACAGATTAACCTACGTGATTAAATCAAAGACTAAAGAAAAAGTCGAGTTAAAGAAGAATCGATTTGGATCAATCCAGTCGCCATCTGGATTGCGGTGGAAAATGCGTCTACTCATGGAAGTTCTTATTATTCTCCTTGTAGGGGGTATCGTGGCCGACTGGCCGATCAACCCCCTGATGAAAGTGTGGTACACATTCCTCCCCCATTCGCCGTCTAAATCGTTGACCAACAAAGAAGACGACTGCGCCGGTTGCGCGCAGAATAAAGTCAACGTGATCGATCCCGACCCGTTGTTGACCGAGCTGAGAGTGGAGTACGTGAAGCAGCAGATCCTGAAGAAACTGCGACTATCAAAGCCGCCTGAAGTCTCGATGCCACTCTCGACCTTGCCTAAACCTTTGATCAACGGCAATGTGCTTCGACCCGATTTAGAAAGACCGGCGGAGAACTTCTACGGAAAAACCAACCAGGTCGTTGTGTTCCCAACCGAAGGTGAGATTTGACGAATCAAAATAGATAAGATTACCCTTTCTAACTCTCTTTAATATAGATTGTATATAAAGAAATATTGTCGAACGGGGCAATTTAAAAATATTCAAAAAATAATTTTTTTGCAATAAAATCAGCTATAACAGTATAATTTGACCCAGTGTAAAACTACCTTAATGAACTTTGTATTGTTAGAATTTTATAAAGAGAACCATTAAAATCTTCTAAAATTTATTAAAATACAATTTCTCTGAATCAAAATTATAGCATACAATTCCGGTAACATAATACACCGATGGGTTTTTTAAATTTACTTAAAATATGAATTGTTAAAATATGACTTGTGAAAGAAAAGTCTGACAATACTCTTCGTTTATATAATTATACGCAAACTATTGTAAATTATTGCAAAAATTTCCAACCACGTAGACTGCTAATGAACGGTTATTCAAATCCACGCGCGATGTGCAAATGGAGAAAAGGCGAAGAACGAATACACTGAGAAAAAAAATACGCGTCATTCGCGAATATTGTGCACGCGTCTTTCTCGTATGATGTAGTTCTAGTCTCTGAGTATTCGGATGCGAAACAAAATCTCTGAATATCGAGGATGCACGCTTTTTCGATGAAGCGCAGACGAAGTGAAATCCGCAAATGAACTATTGTGCCAGAAACGTATCCGAGTACTTGCACGAAAATTTATAATAAATTGCAGGAACGTGTAATTCACAGTGTAAACCGTTAATGTAATATGTAACTTTGTAAAATCAGGAAAGTATAAATGCAACAACCTTTGCGTAAATTATTGCTATCGTCAAAGGGATATTATTAATTTGTAGAGAACTAAATTTCAACTTTTTCACGCATGTATCTTTTTAATTAACGCATTACAATATTTTCTACGTAATTCGTAATATCATTTAATATTCAATTTTATGTTTGCCCGTATCCAGCATATTCACAAATAAAATTAAACGTCTCGCATCGAAAACATTCCTCCGAGAAGCTCATTTCTTTCTCTTTACCGCCAACGGCTGTTCTTTCTTGGCCAGCCAGACGAGAAACACCGACGAGGATATGAATATTGCGTAATTGCACGGTTCCCTCGAAATAAACGAGAACCGGTAACAATGACGCCATTTCTCTCTTTCTCGGCACGGTACTTCTGGATAAAGGTACCACCGACGACCGGCTGGAACCATGAATTTCAAATTTTCCGCGGCGATGCAAATACGGAAGCCGCGCGAACGGCGCACGTATGAATCCCGGTGGCGCGGTGGAAATTTACCTCGAATTACGACACAAAATCACGGTTCTGACATTTTAATCGCCTGTGTGAATCATTTTCGACGTGCTTGATGAATTTCTTAAAATCACGAAAAAATCTTCCTCTTGAAAATTCGTGAAGTTACTTCGAGATCCATCACTTCGAAGAGTTTTATAAAAAAAACGTAAGAAAATAAACTAACAAAAATAACAAAAGTCAAAGAGATAATTAATAAAACTATATTAATTTCGAAAAAAAAAATTTATTTTTGCTAAGGCTCTTTATTAATCACAACAGTATAGCGCGCGTGAGACCAACTCACGGAATTGCTCTCGTTTTGGCTTATCTGACTGCCGGTACGGCAAAATACTAAATAATCATGTACCTTACGAGACCCAATCACCCTATTGACACACGAAAAACCGTTGTCCCCTCGCAGGAAAAACATAAATGACAATATTGATGCGGTACGTTCCAACGTCTGTGTGCCCAAGCTGCACGCAATTAAACATTTTCTGTTATTCCCAAAATATTCGCTTACCATGTAAGATAGAATATGAAAAACTGTAAGATAGTATACGTCACACACGTAAAAGTTTTTTTACGCTCGAAACCAGCTGTTGCGATTTTAGCATTCTACCGTGTCATGCAACTTTATTCGCAACGAAACCATGCATAATTTACAAACACGTAATTTCTTGCCACTGGCGAAATGTAGGAATACGATAATATAATCGTATCGTTCATCGGCTGCACGAATATGTTGAATATTATTGCCCCGAATTTTTTCACGCCTCTTTTTACAACGTTTTTCGCGCACGCGAGTGTGACTCCGCATTTAACGAAAGCATCGATCGCACGATTGCGATACTCCTTTTAGATTTTTCTATATAATAATAATTCTTTTTCAATACGCCTATTTTCCTTTAACACACGTAGAGTATTACCTTGTCTTCTACTAATTATTCTTCGCTTTGATCTTTAAATAAATATTAAATATTGTAAATTTTTAAAGTTCTCTATAACATCGATCTTTAATAGTGTTTTATTAATTGCATAGAGCATTCACCCAAGAACAGAGTTTATAACTTACATTACTTAAACTTGCAAGAAGTTTCTTTTCTTTTTCAAGCAACATCTCGATTTCTGCAGCATCGCTTTTCATCGCGCTGTCGGTGTATAATTCTCTGTCCTTCATTTTTCAAAGAAATCTTTCAGAAGTTTCAAACTAAATTCTTCTATTCGCAAATATTCTATACACGAACTCTCGTTTTGTGAACTTTCATTCTGCAAACTCATGTTCGCAACAATATCGGACTTAAAAAAAGATCACGTTTCTCCGCATTCACGATAGATATAACATTATCGTATTCCGTAGAGCCGAAAGTCCAACGATATGACGCTGCATATTTCGAATGTTTCTCCGGCGCGAAGATTACACAGGCCAATCCAACGTAACCTAAAATATTCGCTTTTTATCTAATTCCGGGACGAAACCACACACACATACGCGTAAGTCGCGATTTCGTAATATTGAAACATTTATTCGGCCTACTTAACCCTGGTTAACCCGCAGCAATTTCAGCGCAAGAGCTGCAGATTACGGCGATGCGATCGGGGCCAGTGAACCGGAAATGTTCATTGCCCTGTCGAATCTTCGCCGCGACATCGAAAAGTAGTGCATGCTGGAGAATGTCCTGAAGGTGCACGTCGAATTCGTTCCGAAAATATCCGAAAATCTCAGAATGACTCTACGGACTGACATAATCCCGAGATCGGATTTCTAAATGAAAATCTTATGAGCTTTGAGAATACTCAAGGAAGAGAGCCAAGCTTCGATAGAACATGGGATTACCAAAACCTCATGCGGTGCTATAACGATTGGTGATCTTTGGTTATTTACTAGAATTACATGATATATTCCAATTATCGTAGACAATAGTAATTAACGACTAACAATCTTGCCACATTTCTACTTAATTGAATGTTTATTAACGATAATTGTGTTATCAGTCATTTATGTTATCAACAATTTGCATGACATTGCAGTTATGTTTTCAACTGGTTAAGAAAGCTTATGTTCTGATCAATGTCATTTATATCAGTTAAATGTTTTATATCAGTTAAATTCGATATTCTATTTAAAAAAAATTATTTGTATTTAATAATTTAATAAAATTAGTTGCTTGCAAGAACAGTCTCTTCGTTCGTACACATTTGCGATGGAGTAAATGTTTTGATCCATTCTCAAAAATATTTTATTTGTTCAATATGGATGCGATATACACGCGTTCATCAAACGGATGATACACCGAGAAAAACGCATGGTACACCGAGAAAAATATGACGCGCATGCGGATACGTTGCCGCTGACGTTTGGCACGCGTTGTGCAACGATACGGATTCACTCTGACGCCTGGCGTTGCATAATCCCGGCGGCTATAAATCATGCGGAAGTGGCGATCAATCGGACACGCTGATCGCCCAAGAATCCGCCCGGAAATAATTTCGACGCGCTTGATAGTGCGTTATATCGCGGATCACTTCGACATTCGACGCGTACACGTCGGCAAAGCGTGATGCAGAGCACGATTTTTCGCATCGCGTTATTACGAGCGGATACAGATGGCTTTTATTAAAATTTGTCCGGAAACACTTTGTAAAATGGTATCGATAATTCTGCAAAACAACTTGGAATTTTCATAAGCTGATTTAAAATGTTATAAAAACTTTTAAATTTTAAAATCTTTCTTCGATACATGCTGCGAAAAGTCAAATGGTATAATAATTATAAATGAGGAAATATATAAAAATTATGTATGATTTATATTTTTTTCACAGTAATTTCTAAATAATGGATTTTTTCTATCGGGCGAGGATGATTCAACCATCGATATTTCTGTTTAATCTTATATGCTCGAATATCGCACATGCCGCTCAGAAATAACCTTTGCCACATTTAACCTTTGTCGCGGTTATGAGAACCTTTTAAAAGCGCACTTTTCCAGATAATTGTGGTTCCATTTGAGGCTTACTTCAAACATCGCCATAAATTGCAGGCCGATCGTGCGCGGCCAAAGGCGCACTCTCAAAAGTCTCGAATAACTGAGTCTTCGGTGTCGTTCATTGGCATACTAAATTAGTTTGTAATGGGATAGCCCATAGATACACGCGTTCGTCATAAAGGAGAGGCAACCGAATAGCCGTGCCACGCACTCAAGTCAAATAAGAAATATTAAAATTATATTGACGAAATAAAAAATAAAATACTTGTAAAATAACATACTTGTCATCCCCATTTTAGAGAACAATTTTAATACACATTCTTATTTTCGTAAAGAGAAAAGAATATCCTTGAATTAAGATATGTACATATGTCCTAAATCGAGGTTGAAAGATTCTACAACCTCCGTTTGTTTTAATAATTCATTAACTCATTTATTCCTAATATCTTTGTCCAAATATATATTTATCCATATACATCTCTCTTAATAACTGTAATAGACAATTTTTGTAAATCATGTTTAACCATATTATATTTTGCAATGCAAAATCTTGAAGTTTAAGAATCAAGGAATTTAATTTAAAAAAATCAATTCGTCATTTACGGTCGGATTTCCATTTCGCTTTTTGAGTAAAACTATATTGTGTTACGCGCCCAACAACCGTGTTACGCTCTCTCAAGAAAACGATCGAATCACGACGGTTACAGGTGTAGCCGATTCGACGAGATATCGTCAGAACTCGAATCACATAACGGGGTTCAATCCGGCGGCCTGTTTCACATTTTACCTGCCGAACGAGATGCTGTACGTCGACGTGACCTCGGCAGAGCTTTGGTTCTACAAGGAACAGGTCGAGAACGACGATGAGCTCAACCAGACATTCGTGCTATCCGAGCTCGATCACTGGGACCAGGGCGGCAGATTCGAAAAGAACACCGTCATGGCAATCTTCGAGACCGACATCAGAGGTGGGTAAATGGCAGATGAAATTCTCCCTCTCTCTCTCTCTCTCTCTCCCGCTCCTTCAACCCCCACATCCATACGTTCGTCACATACGAATCCTCACCGCATAGAAATCTTCCATCGCGAAATTTCGTTACTCCGTTGCATTGCATGCACTTTACGAATCTGCCCCCCGTTGCACATCGCAATTTTGTACTTTACCAAAAATTCGATACGAATGATGAGGGATAATTTTCTCATATCGCGATATCCCGAACGATTTCTAACATCATCTAATGCCTATCAGTACGAAATGCGACTGGAAATCGATTGCTATGACGTTTAAATGAAACTTTAACGAGAGTTTATCGAAAACTCGCGTGTCAGAAAATACCACGCTTTAAAAATCGTGAGAAGTAAAATTAAGCTGGCCAGTATTTAAACTTTGACAACATTCGAAGATTTTTATTTTCCTTTTACACAATTGCACTCCGAAACAGAAAATATAGAAAATATAAAAATTAGAGTTAAAAAATTATGAAAACTAAATAATTTAGATATTCCTTATAATTGCAAATTTTAAATCTTTATTTTCATAGACGCAAAAAAACAGTTTCCCTATGTATTGTCTAGAATAAATCGTATTTTCTGCAAAATTTCATGAAGACGCTTTTGTCTGGTGCGTCACGCTATACTGTAATTCAAAAAAATTGTCAATTTTTTCTTTCAGAGGGCTGGGTAAAGACAGACATAAAATTTATGGTAAAGAAATGGATAAATCGACATGGACTGAACCACGCCATTCAGATAGCCTGCACGACTTGCTCGACCGACCGCGACAGAGCGCCGGTGTCCGTAGAGCAGACCCTGAAGCCCTTTCTGGTGATTCATACGGAGCCGTTGCCGCAACGAAATAGGCCCAAGAGGCACTCGAATTGCCAACTCGAAATGACGGAGTGTTGTCGAGACGAACTCTACATTAATTTCAGAGATATCGGCTGGAGCGACTGGATTTTACACCCCAGCGGGTATCACGCGTATTTCTGCCGAGGTTCTTGTTCCACGCCGACTGCCTTAACCGTCAGTGGCTCGCAATACAACAACGTTATCATGGTGAGCGTAACACGACTCTCGCACGACTCTTACATCATTGGTGCTTGATACAATGTCTCAGTTGACGATAACTAATCTGATCTAACTTGAGATAATTGAGAATAGAAAAGCTTTTCTTTCTTCTAAACAATATTAATAGCATTGACCATATTAACACGTGAAAGATAGCGTTATTATCAGATTTAGTTAAAATTTAATAATGTTGTAATTTGTAGTGTAAACTTAAATTTTTAGTATCAATTCTGAAATGCTTATTTTCAAATTCTTCAGACGAATGGATAATTTACTTGCTATGAATCTAAAAATATCTCCTTCTATTCATTCAACACTACGTACTTTCCACGTAGTGTCTCATTTTTCAATGCTTCATTTATTTTCTTTCGTTATCACCAAAGACTGTTTTCTCATTTCATATCAACAACCTTCAGTCTTTAATTGTTATCGGAGTTAGCTAATTTGTATCATTATGTTATTGCCTATTCCATTCTATTCGCCTTGGTGCAACAGAATTAATGTGCTTATTGCCCGAAACGAACAAAACTATAGAAAAAGTTCTATCTATATCTAAAATAGCGCGCGACATTCTTATCTCGCTCGTGTCAGGTCGTACGAAGCGCAGATGCGTAACAACCGATTATCGTGCTAAAGAAATGTGTCGCCAGTGTGATTTATATTCGTTCTTTCTTTGCGAATACGAGGAGAACGCTGACGCCGCGTCTTTCTCGCGCTATTTCAAGAATAGCGTGTCATTTCGCGCGTTTCTTAGTGGTTTTACCGGCAATCGTATCAAATTACCTACATAAAGAGTATTGCCAATAGTAAATATCGCTGATATGCCGAAAATTTATTAATTGTATATTCGATAACAATCTTGAAAGTTATTTTAAAATATCTCGTTCTATTAAAAATGATTTTGTTATATTCAGAAAATTTATTAACCATTCCTCTGAAATAATTAGAAAAAATCTATAAATTTTTTCTATAAAAATATAATTTTTGAATTAATAAAGAATGTTTTAAATATCTTTTTAATTCTTGTTTCTCATCAAGAATACGAAAATGTTCAATTCCTGAATTGGACAATTCCGCACACGAATGTATAGCTTTTAATTACAATTCTATAAAAATTGGTTCGTGTGTCAGGCGAAATAATCCCTTTCCATCTCTTACGGCTACATATATATACATACACACGCGCAATTTATGCTTTACTTAACGTAAAAAATATAATCGTGCTGCATAATCGCGTCCTTTATTATCATTAATTGTTAATAAAAGTTGGGAGAGGAGGCACTCTTGTTATACCGCGGCACATAATGTGAGTAATATAGTTTGCAACTCGTAACGATAATGGGGCGTTAAGACTCCATTATCACGCAACGTAAAACCCCATTAACTTAGGACTTAGGTCTATGCTTTCTGCCATGTACGAAGCGTGACGCGAGAAATATCGTTTGCATATGCGAAATGGAGATGATTTTTTTAGTAATCTGAGAATAGCTGAAAAGAACGACATTCCCTCGCCTTATCCATTCCACTGCTTTCGCAGAACCTTTTTTTTGCTATTAAAAAATTATCGAACATCACAACTTACAAATAATCAAAATTAACTTTAAAATTTATTTCCACTTCGATTATAATATAAATATTACATATATATATATATAGAAACATTCAAAAGAATGAAAGCTCTTGCATACATTTCCTGTAAAATTTCAGTTCAAGCAATTAAAAATAAAACTACATCAATCGTAAACTCATCCCGCTGACTAAAATCTTCGGAAATTAATGAGCGCAAAAACATCGCTTCTCTTTGCAGAAGTTGTTGAGTAAGGATATGGGACAACAAAAGAACAAGATAGTGCCATGCTGCTCGCCGACGCAGCTCGCCCCGCTCCAACTACTCTACATAGACACGAACAACACGATCACACAGAAAACATTACCGAACATGGTGGTGGAGGCTTGCGGTTGCATGTGACACCGCTGTCTCGAAGACAGAGCGTGAGTAGAATCACTACTGGTGACGACGAGAAGACGAGGATCAACATCTCACGCCACCCCGTCCAAGACTTTCGCTCGCACTTAATCGTCGTGACAAACCGAACTTGGTTGGACGCTTGCAAAATCCGTTCGTCTCGATTTGAACACGAAGAAATCGCGCGGAAACGTACGACAGTGATGGTCGCCGCATCAAGATAACAGGTGATTAAAAATAAGAGCACACTATTATCACGTCACGCAAGCTCACTCTCTTTCGCGTTACATTATAAATAATGTTAATAAAATCGTTAATAAAATTAGCATTATTTCGTAGAAACATCTATATATAAATAATTTCTTCTTTTATTTTATTTTATTCGTTGGCTGTGTGTAGTCTGTATATATTTCATCTTAAGATATTATGTGAGTCATAATTTTTCTATCTTGTTATATGCAATATGACGTGCGAATTTCCACATGTGCGAATCATGCATATATAAAAAAGTGTTGATATCATATATCATCCATTTTAATAAAATGCCTCATTTGCCTCAAACGATTTAAATTGCAAATCCTACTTGTACTTATTATGTTTTTTTTTTTTGTATCAATGAAAAACGAATACAATTGATATACCATATAACAAGATATGAGTTTGCGTGATGCAACAATGGTGTATTCTCGAAACCCGGAATCCCATCCTTAAGTTGATTGCCCAAACCACAAGATCGACTCGAGCTAACGCTTGCGGCGCCAGGGGAAATTAAGGCGTAAATTAAGGCGAGCCGAAGCGTGGAGAGAGCTCGTTACGTATTTTAGCGTAAATACCGACACCCCCGCGTGTCCGCCGTATATCTACAAGCCAATAGCGAGAGACCTTTTGGGCAATTTCGACAATGAACTTTACTGCGCGTGCCCCCATTGCGTCTGACTACGTAAGGCTGTTTCTACTGCGAATCACCGCCGAAGATACTCTGATCCCATGTAAATCTCCAGATTACAGATTTTGACTGATTATCTTTCAGTAATGCAATGTGATCATAATATGTTAATTTGTAGTGAATGTTGTATTGGTATTATCCTAATCTAATTCTTTACAAAAGCATATGGGAAAAAAGTACAATTTTTGCAGGAAAATATCCTCAAATACTTGGGCTTCTCATCTGTTGTGAGTGGCTTTACTTCTAATTTCAAATTATCGTCACATTTCGAGAAATCCGTAATAATATTATATCACAAAGATAACAATTTATATCACATACGAAGATAATAATTTCATGAATGGATTAAATCAATCAAGTCAATTGCTTTTAATCTATTTGGTCATTAGACATCAAACATCTCTAAGAGATACATCTTATTACAAGCAAATTTGTCATTGAACTTTGCAAGACTGCATCTCTGAAAAATGGACCGTGTAATAAAATTACTTGATAAATATACTTCTCGAAGATATGGCGACAATTTAGATAATACCGACAATACGACAAACAACTCGCTAGAAGCCGTACAGTATTTTCTCATTATCTAATGCACAATCCGAAACTGTTATATCGACCCCGGGCTTGTATTTAATTTAAGAAGCGTGATAAGCATGTTCGTAAATTTTATTTATTGTTAAAATAGGATTAAACGTCATCACCTTCTCGTTGACGGTTAGCTTGCGAGCATGACTAAAGAGAGAGAGAGAAAGAGAGAGAGCAAACAATATAATGCAATAACGATTACTCTAGAAGTAAATACGTGCGATTATGGCGTAGTATATTATTAAGCGGCACGCTAAGCGCCGACTGTAGTTGACACGTCAAGATAAACGGCTTGACTTTGTCGAAAACTCTCGGAGCAATAAAACGCGACCCGATATCGATGTATTTTTTTTTCTTCACGGAAATCTTACAGGCCCGAGTGCGAAATAAGCGAGAAATCAATCGATTTTCTCGCATTTGAGTGCCGTTAAAATACGCGAAACCAACGAGATGGATTCTTTCCATATTTCAATTCTCATAAACTTCTATGCCGCCTTAATCAATCTCAAAATAATATAGCTGTTAAAAATATTACGAAGTTTTTATTATTACTTTAAAGCTATACGTGATAAAGTTTTTCATTAGATATATTTATTCAACAAAAATAATTAATGCACTATCGAGTCTGCAATATTCAGTCAAGTTTATTCATACATAATGTTAATGATGCAGAATTTGCTATAACATGTTAATATATATACATTATTATATATATTATTTTTACCATACATGTATATGTTAACTGAAGTCTATTGAATCCATTGATGATTCATGATGGTAAGCTTTTATTTCTATTAAGCACAGTAAAGATCTAGAGTCTCGATATCATAAGGACATCCGACTGAAATCGCGCCTGGAGACATTAAAATCCGTCGCTGCGTTGAAATAAGTCGTACTCAAATTCACGTCGCAAATTTCTCAGCCACGCCCAAAAACCGGGAAGAATTCATGGGGCGGATGAAGGCAAAAACTATAGACGAACATCCGCACGGCTTCAAGAGTGGATTAGCGCGTTTCTTTCAAAAAATACATTTCACGTTTCTTCCCCTTCCCTTCGCGTAACGCTCGATAAACCTCTCTCGAGTAAATCCATCTCGTCGGTTTCTCCCTCGGCGCCATGTAAATATATCATTCGTGTTTTGCTGTACGGTGCCATGTCTCTGCAAATGAATTTCCTGGAGCGTTTCCTTCCTCCGTCCGGGAGACAGACACAGAAACGGCGAGCGAGTAGCTGCGAGGAGAAGAAAGAGGAAGAGAAAGAGGAAACGTAGAGAGCGGAAGAGGGGAAAAAGGGGATGGAGAGAAGATAGTGAAGTGGCGGAGGACTACGCGAGAGTGAAGAGGCGGGAAAGAGGAAGTGGAAAAGAAAACAAGCACCAGGCAGAGCGAGAGACAATGGGTGGCATCGTACCGCAAAATCGAAACCGAGTATGTCCGTTAGCGACATTTAATGCAACAGGGAAATAATAGTTACCGCGACTCTGTGCGAATCAAGTGTATGTCTTTGGTGACAGCGACGAAATAGCGTAATCTTTACTTATATAAATTTGTCCGGCTTCCTTTGCATCGTGTCGCGAATTCTCATTCTTTATTTTAAAAATAAACTTTATTTTTTATAATCCCGATGAAATAAACATCGCAATACTAATAAAATCAATAATACATTTTTTCTCTCGCCATAGTAAAAAATATTTTAATAAAAAAATTTTAGTAAAGAAGCAATTTTATAGAAAAATTGAAAAATATTTTAAGGGTAAATGCCGTTGCTAAGTAAAATTGGATGCAATATTTCATTAATTTGTAATACATTTGTAATTACTGCATAGGCAAAAATAACCTGCTAGTCTTTAAAATTACGAGGAATAAAAACGCGAAAATGGCGTCTGTAATATCGCGCAACACGATGCAGGAGATGGTCCAATATTTTCACCGTAGATTTAGCACAAAATGCGGCGTGCGTGTTTTAAGTCTTTAATAACATTAAATTTTTACGTAATTTTTTTTTTAATAAACCTCAAATTTAGCTATTCCTCTTGCTAAGTGCGCGGTAAAATTGTAGATAGAAATAATACAATCGATAGTTTAATTTTAGGACACAAGAATGCAAGATTGGGTAAAATAATAAATGTACAGATAATTTTTTTCTTTAATCCCCGTTTTTGTTCGTATATGTCATGTTCGTATGTGTTTATTTAAGTAAGGAAACAAGGAAAGTGCGAAGTCTGCATCAGTTTCACAGACCTCATGTGCAGATAAGAATTGTCGAGTATTTATTTAGTACATGTCTTAACTCATATCGAGCAAGCCCATTCTTCGTGTTTTCATCCGCACACAACGGTAGAGTTGTATATGTATTTTCTTATATTAATGCAAATTAACGTAGCTAATATACATACAGAGAGAAAAAGCACGTCATGTAAAGAGAGAAGTCTTTTTGTTCAATAGGTAAAATGCATATTTTGCGAAATTTCACATCTTATTTTTGTTTAATAACGTAATAATAATATTTCTTGGATAAACTTCGTTCCATTTAAAAATCTTTCATCGTTAAAATATTTTAACATTATTATTACCTTAGAAATATAGTATGCAAAGTATAATATAACAACTTTATTACAGGAGTGACGAAAACTTCGGAATTAATAAGACCCTTTTTATTTGTGCCTCGAATAACGAAGTTTATTCTAGTCTTCAAATTTTAGTATTTCCATTATGCTTTCCACATCTCGTTAACGCGTAACAGGCGAAAATTGTTTCATCATTCTGTTATGTGGGACCCGATTGATACTTGGTCAAGACGAATCCGGCGTTCCATCAGGTTTTGTTACGGTACTACAATATTTATCCGCTCGCGTTGGCAGTCGTAGCCGGTTAACGCGCGTTTCCCGCACGGTAACGAGTTTAACGTTACGTGACATCGTCTCGCCGCGAATTAATTGCGTCCGCGCGAGTGCGAGTGCGAGTGCGAGTGCAGTGGCAATTTCGATCGCTGCTACTGCTGCTGTTGCTGCTACTGCTGTTGCTGCTACTATACTGTACTTCGCCCGTCAATCAATCGCACGGAATTGCGGCCGGTGGGCGTATTTACGTATATGTGTGCGCACGTACGTGCATGCGTGCGTGCGTTCATACACACTTGGCTCTATGCTGTTCATATTATTTCGCTCCAAAGTCCGACGATTACTTTAATTAAGCATGAGATTACGGCGGAAAAATGAAAATAATGCACCACCGATAAAATACTGACATGTGACTTGGGCTGTATCGCCACGTAACATCGTGTGACCTTTTCGCTCGACAGCTGTATCTTGAAGTCGGATGTCGACTTTAATTCAAGTTTACTCGTGAATAATAATGCCGAAGAAAGACATTGGAGAAATAAAAATTAAATTGCAAAAGTAATATTCCAAATTAAAGAAAAATCGTGTTCAGTTTCGTGATATTATAATATCGCGTCTGCGCAAAAAGTGCTGCAGAAGGTGCAAATTTTTAAAAATTTTGATAATATATATATTTAAAAAAAAATTACTTTTAACTTCTTAAAATAATTAAGAAGACATTGGCACACATCTTTCGATAAACATTTCTTACTAAAAAATGCCTTGTATTAGATGTAATTATCTTATACAAACATCTCTAAAAGATTAGAGACTTGAAAATTAGAGATTTATGGTAAATTATGAAATACTTTTATAAAGCAAACTAATTTCTCAGTTAATTCGTAGTTAATCTGCTTAAACATAATTTGAATTACAAACTTATTTAATCATTTAATATGTAAAATTGAAAATTCACAAAAACAGCGTCAAATTAAAACTTTTAATGTAACGTTTTTCGTTACATTAAAAGTTACGACATTAATTGTGAATTTAAAAAATATTGTGGTACCGTAACAATAAAGACAATTGTTCACATTTTAATCGACTCCTCGCTCAAATATTGCAAAAAATAATATTCGCTCAAAATTAATTCAAAATTTTAAAATTGATGTGCATATTTTAATCTTCCGCCAAATAAAATTTTAATTATCGCCAGAATTAAATTAAAATTTAATCATTACGCTCGACTTTCAGGAGAAAAAGTATTTTAATTATAGTCTCTCGATAACGCGAGGAGTTTTCTATATTTAACAATTATTACAATAAATTAAAAATATTATTTTATCGCACTCACCGAAATCCCGCGTACAACATCATTAACAGCGAACGTTTGGAAGCCATCTTGTCGTCTCGTTCCGTGATTTCGCACTCCGACATCCCCGACAGCTCGGCTAGTCCATGTCCTGCGTGTCACGAAGACATATTATTACTTATTTACAATATTATTGTAAATATGAAATATTCGTCAAACACATCTAATATTTTCAGGAATCTGCATTGAAAAGCAAGATATAGCACTTCGGCGTCTCCCTTCCTTCACTTTTTTCGTGCATATCTATTACGTACGTTTCACCCACAGCGTACCTTCCGTATCTCTCCATTACATACCGAGATAAATAGTAAATCTATTGGTAACGCTCGTAATAACGCGATATAATCTAATAATAACGCCAGCAAGACGCGAAATTTGTAGCTGTCGTCGCTGAAAGTTCGACGCGTCGGCCGACGAGACGCCCGGCGGACAAGTGATATTTCGATCGCTCAATTTACGCATTAAGACGCGATCTCGACCATTAATATTAACCTAATTACCTTCCGGCGTAAGAGGTCTTCAATATTTTTGCCCCATCGCCGGATCCTGAGGCCGATTCGTGACGATTCGCACGGATTCGACATGCTCAGATACAATCTCGTCCATTCTCGCCGCCCGCGCCGTGCATATAACTATAACATTATTAACTAACGAAGCCACCAATTCAAACGGATACTACGTGAACCGAACGAGCGCCGGTACTACGTGAATCAAACGGAAGCTTGATCTCCTTTGCCAACATGGCGGCGGGCGGCGGTATCACCCGCGCCAGTGCCGCCAATCTTAAGCTAACCTACAAGTGACAGGTGCTCAGCTGACGGATCTTCGTTGGATTCTGAATTCTGTTACTTTCAAGACGGAAACGTGATAATAATATCGTATTAGTTAATTTTCTCGATACGCAAGGAATGATGATGCAATGGTTTCGGCGATAATCTCATGTTCGTGATCGTGACGTGAACATAACCTCAACATGCTGTCCGAGGTTGACGTGTTTATCAGCAATTATACGCTGGTCGATCCTGATATCTATCAGCTTTGGGTCGACGGGCATACTTGTGAGTGGAGAGTTTCTTTCGTCTCTTTCGATTTATTTCGAGGAATTATTTGGATCTGCGAGCCTAACGCGATGAATGCCTTTTTCTATAGCCAGCGATGCGGTCAACGTTCTACATCAGCGAGGAATCTGTCAGCAGACTAACGCGCCACTCGAGCTGGTCGCATCCGACATCCTCGACCACTATCGCACCTACTCTCTGCTCGAGAAACTGCTTCACACTCCTCCGAAACTCGCCAGCGAACAGCTGGCCTTTCAGATTGAGCCGCAGACCAGTCAAATGCTCATAGAAATGTAAGAATACGCATGACGTGGCCCTTCAATTGAAGCTGGAATTGTTATTAATCTCCTGCGAGGCTGATATGGATAATTGCTCATCTCAGGTATTACGAATTTGACGATGTTGTTATACGCGAGTTATTGGGAAAAAAGATTACGTCCAAGAGTAGAAAGGATATGGACGAGGTAGCGGAAAAGACAGGGATCACGTTGAAAAGTTGTAGAAGACAGTACGACAACGTGAAAAGGGTGTTTAAAACTGTGGAGGATTTGCCAGGTTCTCTCGCAACCAATATCAAGCAACATTTTTTACTTTCTGAGGACCTCGCTAAGTATGTGTGATGCATGATTCCTTATAGAAGCCTTCCTGTAACAACCTAGCACGAGTTTATAATTAATTATAATAAGAATCATGCGACTAGCTGTTTTTAATTATTGCACAGGCGATACGCCGCAGTGGTGTTTATAGCGTGCCTGCGATTTGAAATGAATAAGAGGAAATTGCAGTTTTTAACGTTTCCCGATCTATATCATTGTGCGAACAGTATGATGGCTTCATGGACGTATCGTTGTGTCGGATCTGAATACTTTGACACTGACTTAGACAGGGAGTTCTTACAGGAATTATCGGAATGCAGGATTCTTTTAGAAAATGATAAACATCACAAACAGTATGTTGTATCCTATATAAAACAACGAGCAATAATGTTCCTTCAAACGTCCTACAAAAGTAATAGAGTGAAATACCGGTATGTTCCAGTTTAGTATGCCTTAAACTCAAACCAATGCTTCTCGATCGATCCTATCAAGAACTGGACTTAAATTTCCGTTCGTATTCGAGAGCGATACTCGGAATTGGATGCAACTTGCACAGATCACGAGAATTGAGATTCTTCTTTTTGGAACTGGTGGAGAGATGTATCGAACCTTGGCGACAAGTCAATTGGACACACTCTGACCTACGAAATTTCTTATCTGTCTATACACAGTGCGCTCTTGATATGGATGTACTTAGGTAAGGGTATGCAGTAATTAGTATGCATGAATAGAATTTCGTTCAAGTATTAGGAACCGTAAGAAATATTAATTATTCAATTTTTATCACAGAGAAGGAGAATTGAGAGATGCGTTTGAACGTTATATGACAGTAGTGACGTGCTGCCTATTACGTATGTATCATACTTGATTATATTGATGTGAAAAAAATGAATATATAATGTAGTGATAATATACATACTTAGAAGGTACAGGTAAACGATAGGATTGATCATTTGTACAGTATTTATTAATTTTCTGTAATAAATAGTAGACAGATGCAACATATTGTATGCTGCCTGTAATTGTGCACTTAGATATACATATATGCGATAACGCATATTGCACTATCAACATTTTCTTATAAGTTAGTGATATTTTCAATTAAGTGCGCGATGTGGAATTCTACAAAGTGAAAGGCAGTTTTTATAGACACGGCAGCTCGGTTATCTCTTTACCACTTCGTAATTATTCAACTGGAAGTTAATGTTAATTTATTTAAATCCAATGTGAATATTAATGAAATGAATTGAATTTTAAAACTTGCATCTATAACAATGTTGGTAACTATAACATTTGGGTATTTTAAATAAAATATCGCTAAACTACTAAAATATATATTTACATTTATTATCGCGTTATCTAATAACATTATTAATATCGTGTGTATGTATATACTAATGTACAGGATACACATCGCACATTTTGCGCGCTATTTTAAGAAGCACATTTGCTTAAACCTCGTTTATACATTATAATGAATGTACAAACGTATTTTCGTTCAAACGTACCTCCTTGTAAGAATTTTACGCAAAAAACTTATAAGGAAATGTTTTCAAAATATTCTACCCAGTGGCGACAGAGTATTATCTTTACTGAACGGAGATTTTGTACTTACTGTCATTCATTCCTCTGCATTTATTCTACTATTATTCATCGATGTTTAGACAAGGTACGCTGTACTGGGTAGATTGTGGCGGGGATAGGAAAACTTGCGCGTCAGGAAAATCGTAGAAATATCATTTCACCTAAGTACTCGCGTACAATTGACTACTGCGTGACTCCTAACACTTTGTTGACGGCATACACTATGTCTTTGATCTGTGGCAAGGCCGCAATCTCCAGCGATTTTGCATATGGCATAGGCGTGTCGACTCCTGTGATACGAATCACAGGTGCGTCAAGATGATAAAAAGCTTCGCCTGAAAAAAAAGTTTAAGCAAATGAGGAAACTGTTGAGAATAAATAAATTAAAATGAATCGATAAATTTTTTCAAAACTGAACAATATAATAATATTTTGCAGCGCGTTAAAAATTTAATTCTAATTAGCTCTAATTTCGATTGTCTGATTCTGATTTGAAAACAGAAATTCAATACAAGTAAAATGGGAGACATAGATTGATCAAAACTTACTCTCAGCGATTCTCGCGCTGACCTCCGCACCGATACCGCACTGCGGCCAACCCTGCTCAACCGTCAACAGGTGTTTCGTCTTCACCACAGATTGTATGATGGTATCCATGTCCAACGGCCTAAGAGAACGTAGATTAATCACCTCGGCTTCGATTCCCTTGCCGGCAAGTTCGTTGGCCGCTTCGAGAGCCTCCTCGACAGCTTTGGAATGTGCTACCAAGGTCACGTGATTGCCCACCCGCTCTATCTTAGCCTTGCCGATGGGTAAGACAAAGTCCTTGGACAAAGCCTCGTCAGACATAGGATACTGTACACCGTACAATATTTCGTTCTCGAGCACCACCACTGGATCAGGATCTCGAATGGCTGCTTTGAGCAAACCCTTGGCGTCTTCGCTGTTATAGGGTGACACCACTTTCAAGCCAGGACAATGACTGTACCAGGCACCGAAACACTGCGAGTGTTGCGCCCCGACACCTGCGGCGGCACCGTTGGGACCGCGAAACACGATTGGCACATTGACTCTACCCGCAGACATGTAATACGTCTTGGCGGCAGAGTTGATAATGTGATCGATCGCTTGCATCGAGAAATTGTATGTCATGAATTCGCAGACTGGTCGCAGGCCGGCCTAGAAAATATTCATATAAATAGAGGAACATATCAATAAAACTATAACAAATAAAGTTTAATGAAGATTGCTCTACGCATACCATAGCTGCTCCAACTGCGATACCGGTGAAACCAGCCTCTGTAATTGGCGTGTCGATGACACGCTTGTCCCCGTACTTCTTCCAGAGACCCCGGGAAACCTTGTACGCGCCGTCATAGAGAGCCACCTCCTCGCCGAGAAGAAACACCTTCTCGTCCCTCTCCATCTCCTCATCCAGGGCCGAGTTCAGAGCGTCTCGCACAGTCATCTAGCACATTCACACAAATTTCCATGAGAAAACACTGAGGTACTTGAGAATGACCTTTCATGTCCTTCACGTTTCCACTTCTCTGAATGATCGTACATAAGAGAGGTGTCAAATCGAGAAGGACCAAAGGGGAGCAAGAGAAAGCTGTCGATCAACGTGGAACCGTTTGCGGGTGCTGACGTCGCGCCCGCGCAACGTGTCCAGCGGACCGATTCTTTTAGGTTAGGTTTAACGGCGGAGTTAAATCACCTGCTGCGATGATGCCCATCTCGACGTGGAGAACGATCGGCGGACGACGGTCCTTACGGCGGTCTGAAAGCAAAAGAGCATCGTAAATCCGTCCGAAAACGATCGAATCTCTTCTCTGCGAGCGAGCCGCAACAATGTCCATTCTACTCGCAGCAGCCGTTCGCGCTCCTCCGCGCTCGCGATGTTTATTTATAACGAGATCACAGCGGATGAGATGGAAGAGGCTGCCGTAAACGTGGAATAGATCATTCCGATTGCGACAGCTCGTTTTCCGGAGCCTTTTACCGTGAGCATGTTACGTTGTTGACGGGGGAGCGGGTCGACGGAGGTTTCTCGCGGTGAGGCTTTCTCTGAGAACAATCTCTTCTCTCTCTCTCTCTTTTGGAGGACGACTCGAGAGACGTCCGAGAAAAATCCTCGTCTCCTGTACTAAAACAGAGACTGCGTTAACAGAGCCAAGGACGCGTACCGTTCGGGGGACTGTTACGAAACGTGCCACGGTCCTCAGTCCGAAACGGCGGCGCGTCGACTGGCAGTGGCGTTCGAACTTCGAAAGCGGCAATCTCGTACGAATTGAGTAGTGCTGATAAAGCAAAATTATAGGATGATTAGGCGATCGCGTGACGAATACGTAATAGCCGCACCGTCGAATTGTATATCTCTCTCGCGATTGCATCTGAAACGCAAAGTAATTTGCGACACGGAGTCGTGATTCAAATTTTGTTCCTACACGCTGAGTCCGTTCCTTTCGAGCGCAGCGATGCACCTTGCCGGTGCATGGTGCATCTCGTTATTTATTCTTTCAATTTTTTTTCTCTTGAAAGAGCAGATACTTATAAATATAGACGCGAGTTTAATTTCAAATGCAAAATATGTCTATTTCTGTTAATATAGATTAATTAACTTAAGCTAAATTGAACTTAATCTCGGTTTAACTTATCAGCTTTTATTTTTTTCTAGTTTTAAAAATTAGAAACAAATAAAAAGTAAGCTAAACCGAGATTAAAGTTAATTTGCATTGATAGAAACGGACATTAGAGGCACATAATGAAGCGAATCAATATAGTACTTCTTAAAAGAAACAGATCGAAATTAATAGATCAGATGGAGCATTTTAGATTATATATCTCTTTTTTTAACTTATATGTATAACGTATATACGACATTGACCATTCATCGACGTCAAATCAACGTCGATTCACAGCTATAATAATTATTTCCAGTTGAGTTTAAACGAGACAATCTTTTGTTTTTGTATAAGCAGTCGAATAGCAAAGGAAATGATAAGAAAACGTAGAGGAATATCTTGGTCACTCGGTCCTGCAACAAAAATGTTATGTTTTTCTTGCAACATCATATCTTTCTTTCTATTTTATTTCATCAGAGCAAATTAAAAATATTAAAATGTCAATAAATCTGTAAAAAATTTTATTTACCGATCGGGAAATAATGTTAACGAGATAGAAGAAGTTTTAGACGACAGATGGCAGTAGCATATTGATTTCAAAAATTCTAATCGTGATGGGCACGCACCACGCGTAAAAGAAATTCTAATCGTGAAGGTTCGAAAGAGTCCGAGTTAAAACTTATTGAATATTGATAATTACTTGTAATTAAATTCAAAATTACTACTGTGACAATGTTCTAGAACATTAACCACGAGTTTAATAGTAACATTATAGGTAAGTCGAATCAAAACGTTCATTGAGGTGTGAATATCTCATATTGGATATTATTAACATTCGCATAAAAAATTTCTCAAAGGAATCACTCCGCAATTCTTTGAATCACGAAGTTATGAATACTAAACCTTTAAAATTGTTGCCTGCGTATCGGCCTTTATATTTTTACACTCTTTATTTCAAATAATTAAACCTCTGAAACGTCCTGAGAAAAAAGCATTTTTAAAGAGAATATTAATTTTTATTTTATTGCACCAGTGCTTTCTTCCGGTGGCCTTGTCGAATTGCCGAAATTGCGTTTAAGACACTGCCCAGCAACACCAGGATGCCGGGTGCTGGACGATGATTCACATGCAGGATGCGATGCCGCGAGAAGCGCGAGATGAAGTTGGACGAGCACACGCGCAACGAACACAGAGGTACACATTCTACGGGACATATGTATTATACATTTTACAACGTATACTTTATTAATTGCAATTACATGTATGCGTTTGCATTCTCTTGCCTCACATGCAAATTACTTACACAAATGCTCCACAAAAGGAAAAAAAAATGAAAAGAACGTATACCAACGTTTTCGCATATAGCCTCTTTCTCTGCGCGGCGTAATATATGTATATATTTATATTTATATGTATATGTATATTTATATTTATATTTATATTTTTTTCGTTTTTATTTATTTATATATATATATATTATGTATATGCGTGAGTCCATAAGAAATACTTAATCGCTACGAGACATTCATAATCTACGTTGTCATGATTATGGTCGATGTCGCATTTAAGCACTGATCGATCGATAGTTTTTTTTTCTTTTGTTTCTTTCTCCTTTTTCTTCTTTTTCTTTTTCTTCTTCTTCTTCTTCATGCGATGTGTAACACTATACTAGATCACAGTCGTTTCCGCTTTGCAGTCGAGTAAAGAGATGCGATTGATGCTCCGATGAGTGAGGGTGAATGGGAGAAAGGGAGAAAGAGAAAAAGAGAGAGAGAGAGAGGAGTATGTGTGAGCGAGAAAGAGAGAATGAGACAGGCGGTGATTATCATTCATACGTTAAGCACTCCGATTAAGCAAGCGATTTTCCCGTTTTCCTTCCTTCGTTTTTTCTACGGGCTCAGAAATTGGCGAGACAATGACACGAAGATTTAAAATTGCGCGTCGCTTATTTACAATGAAACTCATGCTCCTTTCAATCTTTTCTTTTCCTTCCTCTCCCTACACGAGAAAGAACGGAATTAAAGAGGATTCGAGCTCCGTTGGAATACCCGAAACGAAGAGGGAAAAGAAGGATGGAAAGTTAAATCTTTTTTTTTTTTTTTTTAATTTTTTTCCGTATCTCCTTTCTTGCCTTTCGGCAATTCAAATCGAGATCGAATCCGTTCTAACTCCGTCTTCTCTTTACAAGATTTTCCCCTTTCGGCCGTTTTTCTCTTACAATGACAATGCTACGATGAAGATGTTGCGTGTTACATGCGTGTGTGTTATGTCATTATTTACAGAAAAATGCGCACATTCATACCACGTTTACCTTCCGCTCTAGACTTTACTATGTGGGCGACAAACGATGAGAGCGAGTGATTTCTGTTCTCTTTTCTTTTCTTTTCGTCGTGAAAAACACATGACTGGATGATACCGATAGAATATGCCGATCAAATCGTGCCGATTATTGAGAAGGAAATAAAGTGTCGGGATATGTGTTGTATTTTTTTTTTTGTATCTTGTTTTGCTTCTTTTTTTTGTCGGAATTTTTATTAACGAGAGAACAACAGTTGAGTTAAAAGTTAAATCGACTAGAACACTGGCTAGAGTAAAGAGACCATCTCTTCGATTCAAGTAAAGTCATAGTTTCAACGCAAAACGGAGAGAGATAGGTGGAAAAGAAAAAAGGAAAAGAGAAGAGGGAGAGGGAGAGAGAAATATAGTAAAGAAGAAAAACTGACAGAAAAAGAAAGGAAATTATTACAGAATGAGAAGGAAAGAAAGACAAAGAAACAAGTGGAGAGAGCTGGCGACAAAAATATTCGTATCGAAGTTCAATCGGTGACGAGTTACCATTTTGACGGAGTAAACAGAGACGAACAGATCGAGATAAAATCGATAGACAGATAAATAGGTACAGGCAGACAGATAGACAGACAGATAGACAGACAGATAGAAAGACAGATAGAAGAGTGAGAGAGAGAGATCATTTCGTAATTGTCCTAATCTAATTAGTCGTAGAGTATAGGAGAATTACCAATAGTAAGAATAACCACGATAATCATAATAATTCTAACGTCATTAGCATCGATAAGTGTAGTATAATAATTTAGCTTCTTTTTTTTTTTACTTTTGATAACGTTCCAAATTCCCCGCGCTTCGTTTTCTTTTCTTTGCTTTCGTTTTCTTCCTCCTACTTTTGCTTTCTTTGAGCTTAAAACGAGTCTCGCTCGCGCCTTGGCTTTTCGCTCTCGTAAAATCTCATCACATTCGCGACGGTAATTATCATATTACGGTGTGTGTAAGGCCGCGTTTACTTAATCAATATACATCGACGCGACGATAAGTCGTGCAATTACATCACGCTTCGCTGGTCGCTGTGATGCTAGTGGCGAAACATTCAAGCAGCTGTATAATAACGCGCTTATCAGGCTTCTGAATCATCCTTGTTTTCTCTTATTCTATCTTTTTTCCAATCATACATAAAATGTTATAATCTTCAATACTGACACTGACGTATATTGGACGATCAAGTTTAAATTAGTATTTTGATAACACTAATTTTTTAGTCAAAATCGTCGACAGACGATGCATAAAAAAATATTCTGTCAAGTGCGAAAATCGACGATGAGATTAAATTAAATTTTGCTATCTATGTATATTGTCGAAAGTTATCTCGACAATTTTTAATAATTAAAATAAATATATTAATATTAAAAGTCTCTTTTTAACTTGGATTTCTTCCAATTTATGTCTGAAAAAATTTATTCGGCTCAATACGACGAAGAAAAAAGAAAATTCCGAAGCGTGATAAGGGCATTTTCATCAGGCACCATTGTTGCAATCCGCGCATCTCGATTTTAAAAAAATACATTAATTAAACCGAGAATCGAGCGCAAAAACGTAGCTTTAATTCGACGCCGTACGCGTTTTCCTTTCCTCAGGGGATCCATCGAAAACACGTAACAATATACCGAGATTAAAAGAATCCGTATACGGATGAGTGTGTAACAATTATCTCATTCTTTAGTTAGCGAACTAACATGCACTTGTTTTAAATTCCGACGAGAAAGAGGGAAAGAGATATAGAGATAGAGAGAGAAAGACAGAGAAAGGATAGAGAGATTTAGAGAGAATAAGGGAGCTCGCTTTTCGTCGCCCTATTCTGTAAACGTGCGATGCATCAAAAAATATTCTGTCAAGTTCGAAAGTTTGACGATGAAAAGATAACATCGTCCTTAAGAATTTGCTTTCGCCGCGCACACACATGCGTGTCGAAACAGGCTGTCGAGCCATGCGAATCTCTTTGAATGCGATCTCTTGCTTTTGCAACGTGAGCGCATGTGACAGAACGATCCTTTAATCTTTAATCCCTCAGATTTTCGTGCTCCGCTCTCGCGCGAGCTCTCTCTTTTTTTTGTGTCATATAAAAAATTTACTCTTTCTCGTTTCGCCACCGCTAAAGTATGTACAAACGAATGGTAAATCCCTCGCCTCGCGTTCGCGCGACTGCTAACATTTTGTAGTGTGTTTCTTCTCTTCCTTCTTGTACGTTTAATTTTACTGCCTTACTCGTCGAAGTAGGGTGAAAAATGTGTCCGTCGCTAATCAGGCAGTGAAAAATCGATATTCAACAAATAATTTAGCATAATCTATATTTCTCTTAAATGTAATTCCATATATATATATATATTTTTTTTTAATGAACCATATAAATTGTTCTATCTAATGGAGAAAAAATTTGCACGTTTTATTCCAAATATAAGCTTCGACTGTAAAATAATTGTAAATTAAATTACTATGTATTTTTATTAAATTGATTATATCATTTTTCGCATCTTACAATTCATCGCTCTAAAATTAATTTACATAAATAGCGGCATGCTTCTTAGGACTTGAGGTAGACAGAGAAAGCTCGAAGAGCTCGATATGAATACGATTTTGTTAAGATTTGTCTCGCGCGTTGATTTGAAAAGCAGAAATGCACAAACTGACTTGATGGACGAGATGCTGCAACGCAAGATAGCAAGGATTTCTTCGAGGACGTACATTTTTCATCCTGCTTCGTTGTTATACTTTCGCGTTTGATGCACTTTCAAGAGTTTATATCAAGCTGAATAAAAATATCCATTGATATACGAACGTTATATCGTGAAGTTTTGAAAATATATATGCGTCTCGTAATCGAGAGACAAGGCTTTCTTGCAATGTAAACCTACATAACACTTGTCTTTCACAGGACGTTAGTAGTATCGACGTATTGTTGACGACGATAATGAGGAAAAATAAATTTAAAAAGATATATTTCTTCCATCGCGAGGGTTAAATTGAAAGCACTTCAATGCCGGATAACTCATTCTCGATTGAATCACTCTCAATAGCGACTCTCGACAGACAAATATCTGTAGTAAACACGATTGGGAATTGCTCCCAAGTCCGTGATCATTTCAGAAAGTTCCACGTATATCAAGAGTTACTCTTAAGAATGAAAATTTGTCAAGTGAATGCACAATGTGTATCTAGTGCATACTGAGAAATTTTACTCCGCAGGATATTAATAGTCCTCATACGATTCTTATAAAAAGAACTCTTCCCTTACAGTCGAATAATGTTGAAAGAAATATTTTAACACTATTCGTTAATAAACGAAGAATCCTCGGATTAATCTCTGACAACGACTCTCGCTAGAAAAGTTCCTCACTTGCTCGCGCGTTCATTTTCTGCTCACAAATAAAGAATCGCGATTCATATTACAGACCGCGGATAATACCTAGTACATATCGATATTGAGTACACATTTATATACGTAACTTAGTTATAAAGTAGCTGTAAAATATCATAAATGTAACACAGATAAAAAATAACGTGCTATTACGCTCACTGCTTCTGATGGTTACCGGCAACCATTCGATCGCGACTAACTATATAGCATGCATAGCCTCTCTATGTGTGTTTAATAATTAATAATTATAGTACCATCGGAAAAAAATCACGTGAGATAACAATATATTTAATATTAAATACTGAGATACCTATTTTTTATTGCCGTTTGGGAAACTATTAATTATTCATGCAAATTATATGTTAAACTCGTTTATCCATTGTTCACAATCTGATCTTGAAACATTATGCGTATTACGATATACATATATCTGAATAATATCAATCGTATCTATTCTTATACAAAATGCCTCAGACCACAAAAAATATTCAAGACACAGATGAGTACACACTCTCAGAAAAGAATTCTAGATACAATACTATTAGGATCGAAATAGGGCCAATCATATTTAGTATTAAAAGAAGAATATTTTAATCTTAAATAAAGGAATTCTTAAATTAGACTTCTAGAAAAAAGAATATTTTAATCTTAAATAGAGATATTCTTAAATCTAGAATAAAATAATCTTGATGCTATCCCTCTAATTTTCTCAGAATTATTCTAGATTCAAGAATTCCTCTATTTAAGATTAAAATATTCTTCTTTTAATACTAAATATGATTGGCCTTATTTCGATCCTAATAGTATTGTATCTAGAATTCTTTTCTGAGAGTGCAGAACGCGAAAATTAGCAGATATTTTATATCAATTAAATTTCAGAAATATATATAACGAAGCCTTGTTTTATAATTAATTTTAGCTCAACTGTAATGCCTCAATGATCGAAATAAAATAACTGAAAATTTTTACAAATAAATTTCGGTTCCAGATTCGCCGGAAAAGAAATATTTCCCGATGAAATCTTTCCCATCTCGCCTATTTTATTTTGTATCATAAAACAACGTCTCTTCCTGTTCTCTGTTTCACGACAAATTGCGACGATACGAGAGATCTTCCGTTCGAATCTATCGGGCGAATGGTCGTCCAACAGACAACAGCGATCGTACCTAACAGTTGAAAAAGCATTGCCTCGTTGGTCGCAAAATTAATTCGATAACTTGATCAGTCGCGGTTTCTCTCCCGTCCCGTATTCCCCTTTCTGTTTCGGGATTTTCCGCATTTCCGTTTATCGCGGCCCCACCTAAGTCCTACCCCCCTCCCAAGTAACGTTGCAATCGACCCAAGAATCTTTTCCTACGCGAAATACGTGTCCGTGCTCTTATCCTTCGACAACTAAATCCGCAAAAACAACTCGCGGTACGTACACAGACTAGGTAGGAAAAATCTGCATTCTGTGCTTTGACGATTCAGCTAATATATATATTAATGACGTTAGTCTGACACATGCAGACCACGACAGAATGTATATGAATACCTCATAATTACACGTTGCATATGCATGTATGTTTATATACATATACCTTTGTAATATGATTAGATATCTACGCGTTTATTCTGGTCTATATCGTACGTGTTCTCGCACAATCAGCCTTTCCGAGTATATTTTGACTATATTTTCGCTATTACCTGAGATCAAACATAAACAGTAATCGATTAATTAAAACGAGCCCACGAGTTCGCATTATTCTCAACGCGCGTGTCGTTACGTATGTCTAATATGTATTATTACCTCAAATCCGAAAGCTATGACTAAATAAACGTAAATGTATCAACAATTAGTTCTTCGATGATTAATCAATAAGTAATTTTGTAGCTCCGCATGTCGAACGTCGCGGCGAACGGCCGGAAACCTCCCTCAAAGAGAAATCCGCAATAAAACCGAAACGACCTGCTAGACGGTAAAAGCCAACTGATCCGATCGATTGCATCGTTTAATCGTACCATTTGTTTATATGGACAAAACTCTAGATCATCATACTGCCTATAGGGTACTGTCTACGCCTTTAAAAGTCTTCCCGTTCGCATCCCCTTATTTAGACGAAGGAACGTACTAGTCGAATGTAAGGTTTACTGGCAGAGTGCTAAAAACAACTAGAACCAATTGCTGGCTGAGCTCAATTTTGAAAGACCGCCGATGCCCTTGCCAAACATACTACCGACTTTGCCAACAACGTTCGAGGTGACGTTTCCTAGATTGACTTCTGTATCAACGATGTGTATTTTTGTCTTAGGTCTCTCCACCTCGTCATCATTGCCATTCTCCGAAAGTCCTCTGCAATGCAAAAGAGGATTAATTAACTTTTTTTAGTTGTAACGGGTAATATTTTTTTCAGCTTACTAAAAAGTTCCTTATTTCTAATAGCAAAAATTAAATGTGCAAATTAAATTACGTTTCAGAAAAATAGATAAAAATGTATAGCTGCGATTTACAGAAAGGAATTATTTTCATAAAATATATGTATGTATATTTTTTAATAATTTCTAGTTGCAAAGATAACTTCTTTGTCATACATTTAATGTTAGAGATTAAAAGATCTTACTCTTCGTTCTGAGCGCTCATGGTTAAGGCACAAGTTGCTTCTTCCGTCTTCATCCTCTTGTCTATAGTCTGATATGTCTTCGTGTTGAGTTTCTCCTCCATGACACCCTGGAGCTCAAAGTCGGAGTAGATTTTCTTCACGATATGAGCTAGGCAGGTACATTGATGCAAATGCAGGCTGTGATCGAGTCTCTCGGATAACCAGTTACAAAGCATTTGTATCTGCGCCGTATACCATTGCTGCAAATATAAATCAAAGTAATTCAATTAGAGAAAACGCCTTTACGATCAGGATTGGATCTTGGTAGCCTAATAATATTAATCGCGGGAATTTTATGTACAATATATATTCTTCGCCCTCAAAATAATTCGACGAAATTCCTCCCAATAATGTGAACTGCTAAAGCCGCTCCAGCTTCTCTTTAGATACACAATTATAATAAAGGATTTTTTCGCGTACTATTTCGATCAACTCTTACCTCAAAGAAAGTTAAAATCCACAATTCGTCGAGGACTTTGCTGCGAATCTGATCCATGCAATTTCTCATGAAATTTACATAGGCTTGTCCCATTTCCTTCCCGCTCCCTGATACCTTCTAAAAAACGAATTATAAAACGTCGGTTAAAAACATTTCGATAATTCTCTTTGCATGTATTATCGCTCTCGTGATATCTTTTTGGTTCTTCGCTAAATTATCAATTGAACGAAACGAATACCGTAAGACTGAGAATGGAGCCAATGAAAGAACCTTCGTCGTAACGCGACAGCTTAGACAGCGTCGCTTCCAATACCGTAATGAGCTTGTTAATCATTCCTTGATTCATTCCCGCTGACGTCTTTTCAATCATGTCATCGATCTTGGAGTGATATTGATGCTAGAAATATGGATTAATAATAACAACACAAAATGTACCTGTTGTAAAGCAATTAACTTTACAACAATGTCATTATTATTAACAAAAAATTATTTTATCAATATTCTTTTAGTAACATCAATAATATTTTAGACTCTATTGCAATGCATATTGATGCAACACTTTCTATGATCTTTAACAGTTCTCAACACTATGATCATTCCATTACATGAATATATCTTAAAAATAAAATAACTATATATTTAGTATTAATTTATTAATTAAATAGAGATGAGAATACGAAGTAAAGTGTTAATTAAGCTCAATTAAGCTGAAATCAAATAATTCTCATGGATTTACTTTTACATGTATTTTACCCGATTTTACCAGTAAGCATATTATATATCAACACACACACTAAAATTATTTCGTGAATGAAAGTGCAGAATGTTACATTTCGCGTTTCTCGACAATTTTCCTAAAGAGATCAGCCACCGAATGAACTTACCACATCGACTCCATCGACAGTACAAAGTTTAAAACTCTGATTCTTGGCGTCCAAAATAACGTTCACCATAGCGCACATTTCCGACGGTATGATATAATCTGTGGAGATAAAGGTCACGCCTTTCTTAAGCCACTGCTGGAAGGCCGCGTCGGTCCTCTGAATGCACGACTCCACCATGTCACATGCCATCAGTTTTAATCTCTGCTCGAGATGTTGCCTGAACTCCTGATCAGGCCAGTGCAACCCGCCGATGAACGATTGCAACGCATCCAACTTCCAGAAGAGATCCTCCGATGTGGCACAGCCGTTCCCCTTGATCTCCCATCGTTCCTTCTCGAAGCCCTTGTGAATCGACTGAGCGATCGACGTTTCCATAAGATCAACGTAACGCACCACCAACGGCGCGAACGTGTCGCGCAGATGCTGATGGAATCTCCCATTCTTCAAATTGTCTACGTGCAAATTAAATTTCGCGACCATCTATAGAATCCTTAAATCTAATCTCAAAGCACGACATCTCTGATACTTAAGATAAGAGAAGGCAAATCAAATTAAATCCTGTCAATAATATTCTAGATGAGAATTAAACTCACCGTCGGTCCTGAGATAATCGTTCATTATCTGGAACAGTGGAAAACTGTCCCACGTGTCTGGCGGTTGTTCTGCGAGTACTTTATCCATATCGACGGCAAATAGCGACCAGAAGATCTCGGCGTGCTCCACCATAAGATCGCTAAACCAGGCGAACGCCTGCGGTACAGTGTAGTAGGAGCGGATCGTGAAAATATTGGACATCGCACATATACGGTGGGCATGTTTCGTCTAGCTCGGGGTGATGGGGACGCCACCCTGAGCACGGGGCCCTCGAGTACCCAGAAGACACTACTTCTACTTCATAAATGTGCGTGAGAGAACGGTCGTAAAATTCGTAATGCTAAGCGACAAGCGTTTGCTGCATCTAAGATCTCACGTGATTATTGACTCGAGCGAAACGTCGAGGGAGATATCGCAATCGAATGTTGATAAGACGCCTCTCATTTGCAAAAGATGTCTGGTGAGAAATGAAAGTGAAACTAAATTTAAACTAAACGCAGCAACGTGTGAGTGCTAGGATAGACGCAGCAATGAATTATTCAATTCCTTTGCTAAATAAAAGTATTATTTTTGACGCGTATAATTTCTAATAATGGAAAAGAAATATTGATCGATAAAATTACTGTGGCGGTAACCGCATTTTAATTTATAATTTTATATATATATTAAGAAATAATCGTTGGGTTCTCTCGAAAAAATATACAATATATACGACGAAAATAAGTGTAGATTGAACATTTGACATATCTTTGATGCATCCATCCTATTTATTGTCTTGTGACGTGTTTCATGATGTATATACATGATGTATGTATGTGCAAACTCGAAAACGCAACAACATAAAAAAAGTTAAGTGTTGCTCTTGTCTTTCCACAAGAAAGTGAACGTCTCTCAGTTGCAGTAGGATATCTCACGACGTCCGCAATTCAACGATTATTCTACATGAAAGCGACTTTCGCGGTGATAATAGAAGCTCTCTATGCAATTGTCTACGCGAGCCAATTGTCTACGACGACGAGAAGGAATGACGCGCGTTTGTCTTCTGAGGAGGTGGCCGGACCCTTACCAAGTCCGAGTTTCAAGGCATGCTGACCCTCTCTCTCGAGAACCCCGAGTATCGACACTCAGTTCTAAAAACCCAACTAATACCTCCGAATAATGTTCTTCATTTTGCTGGAGCAGGTCGACGCATAACTCGGCGAGATGTATGAGATCCTCTAGCTTCTTGCTGGGAGGCACGCATGCCTCGCCGCTTAGATCATCCTCGATCTTTGCTTCGGCGGACAATTTTGTGTAATTTACAAGCGCTGCCGTTTCTAAGCAGTTCTTTATCAGAGCTTTCACTTCTTCCTGCGGCACAGGTGTCACGCTGTCCTTCATGAGAACGCGTTCCAAAAGAGATAAAGTCGCTTTCAACGCGCCTTCCGGACGCCCAAATGGAAAACTGTACCTGTTGCGAAAAGGAACACAGTTGGTGACATTTAATCGGACAAAGTAATTTTTTGGGAAATCATTTTTGAAAGAATATCGATTAGTCTATTTTTAAGAGATATTCCATTGTAATAGCTATTATAATAGCGCGCATGAAAATTAATTTCTTCCCAAGTAAAGACATACATATTATTATAAAAACTATTCAAATAAAAATCGCAACAAAAAGATAATTTTGAAAAAGAGAAAAGTGAATTTTATTAAAAGGAATGTAATTTTGAGATACATATAAAAAAAATAATTAAGTAGAACTAAATATTAAACGCTTAAATAATTCTTTGTAATAGTTACTTTTTATATCATTCACAGTTCGAAGATTAGAATTGCTTACCTAAAGTTGGTGATTTGACTCTCGAGAATCTGTCTGAGCCGTTCCTTAATCTCCTGAAATTTATCTTTCTCTTCGTGAGTAATCGAGCCCACGCCATCGGCGGATGTTGTGTTACCGTAAACATGAGTAGCACAGAAGGCGAAACTAAAGTGTATCAATGTCGGATCTATCATAAGCCCACGATTGATTCTATCCAACAGGTCATGAAGATAGCAGAGATGCCGAAAGCACCCGCGCACGCCGTATCTATTGTCAGAAAACAGACGCTCAAATCGATATTGCAAACAAAAATAGAAGAAAAAGAAATCGCTCTAATTCTGTCTATTTTTAGTATCTTGTAAGGCATATATTCATGAGATATAAAAACATACTTGGTAAACAGATAATAAAATAAAAACAAGAATCGCATTAATTCTGTTCATTTTTAGTATCTTGTAAAACATGTATTTATGAGATATGAAAACATACTTGATTAAAATAGATAATAAAATGAAAATAAGAATGTATTACCCTGCGAAAAAAAAACAGTAACCGGTTCAAATTTTGATAAAAACGAGCTTTATTACCTGGCACAATATTCATCCAGCACAAAAACTTGACCTGGCGAGAACCAGCCGAGAGAGCAGTAAGGATCGTTCAGTCTGTAGTCCAGGATCAAGTTCTGCAGGTACTTGAATAGACCGTGATGGTCAAACTTGCATGGATCTGCACTGATATAATCCTCCATACCATGCTTCTTCGCGCGATCGGCGTCACCTTGAATCTTACTGATGGTTGAATTCTTGTCAGCCACAGAGACTGGCGGAGTGGGCTTGTGCGACTGGCCAGTCGCCCGATACATTGCCATTACCCACAAGTGACACTCGTTCTCGTCATCCGAGGCGTACACTATATTGTCGCCTTCGCGCACAGCGTTGAAGAAATACCTGTCAAATACATGCAATTCGTGATTGCGAATTGTGCAATTAGGACACACGATCTTCGCCTGTCAACTGTGAAATATCTTGCTCGATCACGTTGAAAAACTGACGTGTAAAAATTAAATGTTCTATGAATCGGATTAATCGAAAGCTAAATTGCTTTCCAAAGCAATTACTAATCAACTTTTGCTATAAAATCAACTTAGAATCAACTTAGATGGAAATCTATTTTTTTTAAAGCTTTTGAATTATGTGAAACATTTAATAGCGTAGCTTTGCAATAATAAAACAAATTTGTTAAGTATCTACTACTAATAAAAGCAAAAATTGTCTTAATAAAAATTCGATAATTAACGTTTGACAACGAACGATTGCAATAAGCAATCTTACGAATCTGTGCGACTACGAGCATGCTGCTGCAGCAGGGATTAGGTATCTCTCGCTCTCTCTACGAGGGAGAGAAATTTACCTTCCTCCCTCCAAATCCATGCCGACCATGAGATTAGCAGAAACGGCCTCGATATAGTCCACTGTATAGCCATCGAGCTGCATCATTTCCGACGGCTCGCTTTTCTTTTCTTTGTACGAGCACATCGCAAATGTGTACTGCGAGACCTGGACCAACACAAAGTACCGCTTCTTCCACTTTTTCCATACGGACTTGCCCATCGCGTAGAGATAGCCGCAGTGTTTCATGTTGAGCGGCTTGTCCATACGGCAGGCGATCTTCATGCGTAGATCCTGATCGGCGCAATTCTTGGGCACGGTCATGCGATGCCACTCGGGCACTTTGCACGACAGCGGAGTGGGCCGCAGGATCACCTTGCCCAACTCCTTATCGTCGAGCGCGAGCATCGCCGGATTCTCGGTGTACAGTCTGACCTTGACCACCGGCAGCGGGTGCATTGTCGTGAAGTCACCCTGAGTGTCCCACCTATAAATAGGACCCGTGGACGAGAATGATGCGTCGGCCTTGACCTCCCATTGGTATATCGCGATCGGGACCGAGCTCCGATCGTCGATTTCTCTTTCTTTACTCACATAGGCTTGGAGGCCTCGGCCTGATCGGTCTGCAGCTTTTCGCCGCCCTCCACCTCCATGGTGCAATAAACTATTCTATCGGGTGCTAGGCTTTTGAGGCCCTTGACCTCCATTACGACTACTTCCAGCTGGAAGGTCAGGCCAACGTCCATTTTCGTCAGCTGGGGATCGGAATCGGCGGAGTCGCCCTCCAGTTTAGCGAGGGAGCCCTGAGCGCGGCAGCGGGAGCGCTCACCACGATGGTTGTAGCGCTTCAGCTTCTGCAGCCCGTATTTGCTGTCTATCGAACCCTTGGAGACCGGTAACGACTCCAGATTAGTCATTAGCAGGTTGATAGACGACTTGAGCTCCTCGATGTAGAGCGACTCCATCTCTTTCAGAAGGAACCTGGGCATGAGCTTGCGGTTCTAGGGATAAAGAAGGAACGGTCGGCGTTCAGGGACGAGCAGAAGCGATCGGTGGAGTATCAGCGATGGAACAAATAGAAAGAACGTATCCATGTCCAAAATGAAACAGCATTAAAGTAGAATAAAAGCCGAAATTAAAAGAAGAAAAAGCAGCCGTCACGGTACCTTCTCCATCTCGTTGACCTTCTGTACGCGACCGTCCAGCTCCCTCCTGATGGCGGCAGCCTGTTCGTCGGCTGAGTCCAACAGGAGGGCGTTGAACAGAAGCTGGTGCTCGAATTTCTTGATGCCGAGGATCTGCTGAAACATGTCGTACAACTGCTCCTTCGACAGTATCAGCTCCGAGTTCAAAGACTGCTGTTGCATCCTGGAAGGCCTTTTAGTGTCTTCGTCACCAGTACCTTTCAAAATGCAATCAAATTTGGCCAACCAGGACGTAAGCACAGTCTCTTTGCTCAGTCCGTCGATTTCCGGGAGGCTCCGAACACGCTTCTCAATGTTCTTCTTGAATACCTCGCGGAAGTCGAGCTGGGAGCATGCACCGCTCTGCACCATTTGTACCACTCGGTCCGACTTCAGGAACACGTCGTAGTAATTCTGTATGGCATTATGGAATGCCTCGTCAGCCATGATTTGCGTCTCACCCTTCAAAAAGCTCTGCAATTCATACGAGCGCGTATATATTATAAATTCATTACAAGCGATATATCCCTTTCTCAATTTTCTTTCATGCTACAACATTCCTCTCATCCAAGTACACATATGATATAGATTTTGAATTTTGAATTTTATCGGTTATTCTTTTCACTAACGTTTAAAACAATTTGCAAAATAGGATCGATACATATCGAATATATCTTAAGTAATATAGACATATATTATATTGTATTATATTATCTGTAGATATAAAATTTCTGATATATAAAAAATTTTTATTATGCATTTAATTTCCCTTAGCAAGAAAAAAAACAAGAAAAATTAATGTAGATCTCACGCAGCGATACAAGACATAAAATACGATTGCGTTGGTATAACGGAGACAAGTCTATATTTACAGCGGCCAATAATTTAATGCGATCGTACAGCTTCGATATATCTAAGAGCGGCGAAGGTGAAGGTTACAGGTTAAACTATAAGACTCTGTATAAGGCTTCGAGAAACGGCTATTCATCACGAAGGGTTTCTCTTATTTCATAAAATTATAAATACATGTAATGAATATTTAAGCAATATTTTTGTCCGAATAAAATAAGTAACATAAGTGGACGATCAGTAGAGATAATATATGTTGTAGAGATTTAACAAGATTCTCGACAAAAATCTACAATATTATTCTGCACGTTTCTTATTTTCGTATTTAATAAAAATTTAATTAATTACTTTCTATCCACTCTAGCGGTTTACCTGAAAACGAGAACATATGGTCTCCAATTGTTGCTTCGTTACTTTCATCTGCCTTCGCGTCATGTCCATTGGTTGTTTGGCGTTGAACGGATAAGCGATACATCTAGATATGAAGACGTAAAGCTGAATCCGGGTTTTCCTTTGCTCTTCCTCCCTCTCTTGCTTGTCCTGAAGAAGACAAGAAAATTCGTATCAGCAGGACAATATTGTTCGCGACGCGCGTTGTTAAAAAAAATTGTCATCCCGTTTCTTTTTAAGAAAGAAACTGGACAAAGCAAAATGTTTCTCACAACCATTTCAACCGTCCACAAGTTAAGAATCCTGTTATTTCTATAACATTAGATTTTCTCTTTGTAGCATGAAGAGAAATTCTTCAACACACATATTGCATATTCTTTATCATATTATCTATTTTATATCACACTTTATATCATACTTTTGTTATGGGTATTTTTTCAAGCATCTAAAACAAAAATGCGGCAAGCAAAAAATTTCCTTATCGAGAAACGAAAAAAATTCAGTGCACTCGCGTACTTGCAACTCCGCTTCGGTCTTCTCACTGGCCACCGAGGGTGATGGACTAGTGGGTCGCTGAGCATAATTCACGGCATCCTGGGCTGCGCTCATCGATGGCGATAGGGAGTTCCTGGCGCTGGTGAGATTGGGCACATCCAAACCAGCCCCAGCGGTGTCCTGCGTTCCCGCAGCGACGCGACTCCCGGATCCATGGGTGCTCGCGGTGCTCGGCGGGCCCACATGGTTCGGGCCGCCTGGCGAAGCGGTGAGGCCGGATGCGAGCGAGCTGACGCTACCGGAACCTGGACCGCTTCCAATACTTCCGGGATGACGACGGGAACCATGAGAGCTGCCGCTCCCGGCACGGCCGCCGCCACCACCGCCACCGCCACCATGATGAGTGCTCTGATGATCCTCCTCACTCTCCTCTTCGGATGAACTTGGGTCTATCATCGTCTAAGAAGGGAAGGCTCTAAGAGAGTACGCACGCGGTTCTCGACCTCCCCCTCACAAGAGGCCCAGCCGCTTCACGTGGTTACGGAGCCGTCGTGTTCTACTGCTTCCGTTGATCACGCGCTTTTCTGTAAAACTGAAACATTTTTTATTTTTATTATTTTTTAATGTGATGTTATCTTTAATTATTTTGAGGAAGAAACCGAGAAAAGAAGGAAGAGAAAGAGAGAGAGCGAGAGAGAGAGAGAGAGAGAGAGAGAGAATTTCTTACGTTATTTTTAAATATTTAACGCAACTGAGAATAATCGATGATAAAAACGGCATCGCGAAGCATTGTAATGAGATATAATTAATGAACCTAATAAGTTAGTAGCTTATAGTCACATCAAACTATATGACTGAGGATTAATGCATTATATAGTAGGAAGTAAAACTATAATTCCCTTTCTCTGACGCAAAGCCGGATTATTTCGTTAAACGTACAGCGTGTTAAATTATCTTGATTAAGTTAGGAATTTCATATTAAGTGTAAGGCAAGTTATATAGTCACCGCGTTGCGATTGTTACGTCCATTATGTCTAACATAAGCGCGGAAGTTGCGTGTCAAATTGGCCTGCTGGTTCCTACGCGTAATTTCCATCTGATGTTTTGCGCAAAAGCGCGTATTCGACGCGGACTGCAACTTGCATAATTGCAGGCCGTCGTATGCAAAAGCGAAGAAAACCGTTTATCCTAATTCCGTTGTGCTGTCACGCGCGAAACAGCAATTTGCAATCCATCAGCGCGGCGTCGAGTTTGCCGTGCTTTGCTACATCGCAAAAACTCCGAGAGGGCTCAGACGAGTCTTTGAGGCTAGTCCTTAATTCCGTTTCTCCATTAAGACCCTGGACCCAAAAGTTCACAAATAAACCTTCAGCGAACACGATACTATCAAAACGGAATTCAGAGCTGATAAAAGTAGCAGTAAAAAAATCAGCCACGCATCCTAACAGAAACAGGGATTCTGATAATATGTTGAAGAGATAACTGAATTTATCGGTTTCCAAGGTAACTTTGTGCGCACAGCTTTGGCGCGCACGGTTCTATCTTAATTATAATTCGAATAAATGATTAATTAACTAAAGACTCTAAATATTAACATTAACGAGTATTCGAGTAATGAGAAAAAGTGGTCTTTGAGAGTCAAACGTGATTAGTTGTACGTAAATTAATGCTATGTAACATTTAATTAATAATTAATATAAATTATAAATTGTGTGTGTGTACATTTCGGCTCTACTTTAAACCATCTTCAAATAATCTCCGACGAGCATTAGATGAGTATTTAAAAATTGATTGTACAAAGATAGTGTAATTTTCAAGAGAAAATACCAGAAAAGTACATTATCTTAGTACATTCAATTTTTAAATACTCATGCACCTTATGCTTGTCGGGCAGCTTAAGATTATTTAATTTACCTATCATTTGAAGCGTCGCTGAAGATGGCTTAAAGTAGAACTGAAATGTACGATTTATGTTTTGTTGTATTATATTATTAATTAAATGTTACATAGCGTTAACTCACGCACAAGTAATCGCGTTTATCTCTCAAAGCCCACTTTCCCTGCTACTCGTTAATTTTAATTATAACTGATTGTTTGAAAAGTCTGCCGCTTCTCTTAAAATGCTATCGGATTGCTTCGAGCGGATTCAATCGATTCTTTTACGAGAATTTATAATGATGAGAGTAAAGACTTGTCCCAAAGGAAGTTATACAAATTGTTATACATGTATAGCTGTAGAATCGAATGTTCTAAACATTTTTAATGCCATTTAGAAATTTAAATGTTTGAAGACCGAAAGGTTTAAGAATATGACAAAAATGAAACTAATGAAATGACATACATCGTTATTTTTATTACAACTATTTAAAATGCAATTATTATTGAAAGCACAGAATCATTATGATTAAATTAAATGTCTTAAACATTCTAAAAATGTTGGTTACAACTTAGCACAATTTTCCATGTTTTTTTAATCACTCGTACTTCATTAAAAACGCTGCTGTTTATTAGAAATGCATTCAACTGTAGAATATCCGTCATCTGTCGAATATCTTTCCCTTGCAAACGAACTTGCGAACGAAGAGAAGTGTCGAACGGATTTATTGACCTTTTCAACAGGATAAATACGTTCTCCTGTATTTATTGACAGCATAATATGCTCCGCGTAGAACGGTTCGTGGGCTACGGGTGGTAAAGCTTAATTGCATTTAATCTCTCCATACGCGCGATACAAGTCCATCGATAATTACACTGACCCTTTGATGTGTGCCTGTAATAGTATACAGCCCACACTCTCGCGTGCGCGCGATACACGTCGCACTCGATCCTCGATTTAAACTGTCTTCTGTCCTGCAAGGGACTCGCCTTCGAACCGGTATCGGAAAAGCGCATCGATGTGTGAAAATGCGTAATATCTTCGAATGCAGTATCCTTGCAAATATATCGCGGCGACGAGATATGTGCTCCATATAAAGTCCGCAAGCTTCTGCAAGGATACACGGAATCGATCGGAAAAGTATCCGAAATTGTTTTCCACAAATTCGAGAGAGAGAGACTAATCTTTTATATAACGTATTACTGAAAGACCGTTATTATCCTCGCAATTCTCAATTTTCAATATTAAATTCCTCGATTGATAAGCTGCAAATAAAGTCTTTGCTAAATTAATGTCGACGTGCAATTAAATGAAATGGAGTTAAATTTGTAGCTATTCCTCTTTCTTTTAAGAAATGAATTTTCTCGTTTTAAAAGTTTATTTTAGTTGATCTAGGACATCTGTACAAGATAATTATTTTCAAAATAAATTGTTATCTGGTCTTGTCAAAAGTCCTATCTATAATAGTTATGTTATAATTCCAGTTAACTAATTTTTTTACAATGTTTTCCAAATTTATTTTTACTGAATTAAATAAAAATTAGTCAATAAAGTAGAATTACCATTAAACTGTCGCGAAATTCTTAATCGACTAACGGCTCAATTTCGATTTAATATCGCTGAAATATTATAATGCATTACGTCATGTTATATGGTACGTTGGATTACTTTTGTTAGAGGATCTAATTTCGAACAAGATGTTTCGCGAGATGGATGGAAATGCCGGCAGATCCTTTTCAATGGCATAATGTTCTCCCAGGGTTTAAATAAGCTGACACGTGCAGACACGTGCTACGAAAAATGGATGGCTTATTACAAGCCTGGTTGCGCTAATGGAGAAACGTTCGTCGCTTGCATCTAACGAAGAATTAATTTGATGAGTAGAATTGGTTGGCGAATTGCTTTATTCCGCACGACTTGGCATAATTTTAAAATAATGAATTTTATGTTCGATTCTTTACAAATTAATTTTCAGAATAGGTTAATAAAAAAAAAGAAAGTTAATCGCGTAATTTATGTGCGAAAGTTACAGAAAAATACATATAATATAAAAGTATATCTATTACATTGCAGCTAATTAATTAACGCGCTGCTAGCTGCTACTAGTAGTTATTAATTCTGTTTGCTGCTAATTTCTCATTCTCTTTCTTCATCGTGGTTTTTATTAATTTATTATGAAGTAAATTAAAAATGCACGAGTTGCGGTAACGATTTATCCAGTATTATTTATATCACTTTGGACCCACTTGTTTGTTTTTCTTTGCCGTTCCTTCATTGCGTCATATTTGATAAATATTTTCACAACACTCTTCACAAAAAGTTTTTGTAGACTTTATATAAAGAAATTTGTATGCAACATTCTCAAATTATTTGCACAAATTCGCAGTTTTCAAACATTTTATCTGATTTTCATAGAGATGTACACGGTTCCTCACGTTAGCGTAACATATCAGCGCATTAAATTCTACTGCACGGGAAGGAAACTCGGTTGGCGAGCAGTAACTACGTGCCGCAGAACTTAAACGCGCAGAAGCCGTCGATAAGGAACTTCCGGCTGGCGAAATCGAAGCGAAGAAAACTATTCGCGAGACGAGAGCCAGAGGAAGGGAAAGAGAGAGAGAGAGAGAGAGAAACGGAGTCTACGACCGAGTTCTGACCTGCGATCAGGTTCAACCACGATCGCAGAGGAGAAAGACGTGTGAGGAGAGCGCGTATGCGTTTTCTCTCTCCTTTCTGGAATTTTTCCAGACGCGACAATCGATTTCCGCGTGCAATGTCGAGCGCTCTCGGCGCGAATGCAGAAAGCGAACTGGAACGGAAGAAAGACGTGCGTGGCCGTCACAGTGCACACATATCGATTGTCGCCAGCCGTCCTTCTCACTTCCTCTTTCTCTCATTTCTCTTTCGAGCTGGATATCTGATTCACTCGCGCGACATGTACGCACGCGTGTGCATGGCACCGTGATAACGGCGGGCGAGCGAATAGAATTCCAGCCACAGGTCTGGAAAATCGGAGGAAATTAGGGAATATCGGAAAAAGTTTGAAAAATTGTAAAAAATTTTCTGAATCTCTCAGACTCAAAAAGAATTAAATGGAAAATTCCTTAATCGACTAGGTTGTACGAATTATCATTAAGAATTATGTCATCTTGTCTGCTTTTGATTTGTATAGGCTTATTTCTTGACGTATTTATCTCTTCCTAGGTCAAAATTTTATAAGTGATTATTGACGCAGATTTTTAACATATTTTCTACACATTAAATATATAAATAATAATACTAATAAAGTAAAATCATAATATTGCTACTTTTTCTTTTTTCAGATTGTTCTCTACTATGTCTATCTGTTGAGATCACCGTTATCTGATCATTCTGCAATCGCAAAAATCGCAGCAGATTGTTTTCAGTAAATATGAAAAATTTTATCATAGTATTTTATTATAAAATTATATTGCTGTATGTGTGTATAGAAGAAGACTTTTCTTACTAGTCTTTCTTTCTTCAGCCAGGTAAGCACCCCTCGATTCTAAACTTTTACTCTTGATTACTTTTATAATTTAAATGATAATAAGAAATATTAACCGTGGGAAGAAAATCAATCCTATAATATATTGGCACGTCGCGTCAGTGAGAAATGTTGAGATCTCAGTCGTTGCGAGAAATGAAATACGCGCAAAGCTGAGCTACAGTAAAATATTTTTACGACGTACAACAAA